CTTTTCTCTTGCTTACATTTATTCTAAGAAAATACAGATCTTGTAGTGTTAATATTTATCGACTATGTAGCCATCAAAAGTTGGGTGGGTGACTTGAATAAAAAGCGCACCAAGCAGTTATTACTTCTTTTTTTAAATCTAAAAATCCCTATTGCTAGTAATTATGAATTCATTATTGTTCGTCTTTTGAGTTTAGGTGTGAACAGTTTGTGATAATTTTCTTATCAATCTGTTCAATTATAAATCTGTGAATACTACAGTATCCATTGATAAGGCATTCAAATTTCTCTTAAAAGGTTTGCGAACACCAAGCATCTTGAATAGGTGGGAGTTCAGTGAGGATTTGATTAATGAAATATTCGTCAGTTTAGTTTTAATCACACTAGAAGTACAACAGATATTCAAAAAGATATGTGACATTAACCCATATATAAATAATGGTTAACACAGTATGCTAGATTAGGTATCAAGTTTGATCACGTATTGAAGTCATTTGGAGAAGAGAACCATTGTAAAACCAGGGATTACTGGACAACTGTTTTGTCCTACTTTATGACTCCTCATCGGCACGCATCCACCAGGGTTCGAACCCAGGGCCTTAAGGTTACAAGGCAAGCTCGTAGACCTTTGAACTACTGGGATCCGATCTAATAACCCAATGAATTCCAACTTCTATCAAGTCGTAACTTTTTAGTGCGACCGCCAAACAAGTCATATCCTTACAGACGAACTCATGAAGATTAGGTATCATTGTAAAAGTCAATTCCAAGGGGAATTTAAAGTCAACTACTCAGAATAGATTTTTCATGTACCATGTCATGGTTTACATTTATTTCACGTTACTGTTTAGTCTCGCATGCCTAAATAAACGATTTTGCATTCAAATCCAGAACTCACTGACGGAAAATCGGTGGCAGAAACCAATGAGGTATATTTCATTAAAGTAGTGTCATGAGTAGCATATAAGTGGTAAAACAAGAAACGCGGTAAAGATTTAAAAAATAACTCGTGATGGTAATAAATATGGAAAACTAAACCAATATAATCTGAAATTGAGATGTGTAAATTGACATTGATATTTCTTAGAGAAAGATAGAAGGTGGGAGAAAAAGGTAAAAGGGTGTGTTGGGTGAAATGTGAATTTTTGGTAGCAATTATAATGAAAATTGATTTGACCCATTTTATCATATCACAGACTAGGCAAAATAAATGTACGCACTTCGGAACACACTTTTTCCCTTCTTTAAATGGTGTACTTGTGTGTACTAGTTTTTAAATTATGTGCAATTTGATATATATATACCAAGGTCATGACCTTATTTGTTGTCAATATTCCACTAGGCATAAACATAATAACTACTTTCCACTGTCACCTGAGGCAGTTGAGGCCTATTTTACGCTTATCGAGCTTGGCTGTGTGAGTTTTAGGTTAGATAGAAAGTTAACAGTTGTCAGGCCGAAAAATGACACATCCATAATGTTACTGACTGCAGCATAAAGGAACATTGATTGGCTGGGTAAGGTCTATATGATCACTTTGACCTGTAACTGGATGCGACTCTAAGTTAACTGCATTGGTGCACATGTCTTTCTCTAACGACCTTACGTTTTCACTGGTCTTGTAACACTTCGTGAGTTTTTGTACTTTTATTTGCATTTCATTTTATCCCTTTTCCATCTGATTTGCAAATGTCAGGTTGTTGCACCACACCGTGACTAAGTAGGGCTGGATCCTTGCATTTTCAAAGGAACTTACGTCACCTTATTGGTACCTTCGTTAACTGCTGTACTAGTGAATTAAACCAGTTCGAAATTCTTAGTTAGCATGAGTTACCGTGGATCTATAAAAGTTCTTACTGATCTATGTGATACACAAAACATAGTTCTGAAATTTTCTGCTACTTACACTCAGTAGTGTGCGTCGGTGGCACAGCTGTTAGGACGGCTGCCGACCATGCATATGGTCCGGGGTTCGACCCCCGGCCGACTCACTCCTCCCTTACCTCGCTAAGCCAGAAATAATGGTGGTAAAGAGTAAAGGTTAGGCATGAGGCTAGGAACCCCATCCTGTAAAATAAACACTGCTACAGAAACTTCAAGTCACTAGCTTGAAGCCCTATGTTCCGCTGGGGAACGTGAATGAGATGATCAGTTACACTCAATAGTCGAACATACGAATAAAATGTACACATCTATTTTAAAAGAGTAAATAAATCAACCCACGATTTCCAGAACTAATTTAGTGATAGAGGTTTGTAAATACACTTTCTAAATTCCATGGCGTAAATTCACAGGTAATTACTCCTGTAGTTGTGCTCCGCACAGAATTTCCAGTGATTTTGTGAAAATATAAACGAGGTCACTGTGAATGAGTTGTAAATTCATCTTCATTGTGTCTTTTATTCAATGAAGCCAGCTAACATTAATTCGTCGTATAACCTATACCTAGATTTTGAAAATTCTCTATATTGAACGAATGAAAAGCTTTTTTGTCTGGTGAGACTCTCTGACATTGGATTAAAAATTATTTAGTGGAGTAATGATTACAGTTTTAATTTGGACTTTTATCACGACAAGAATCCAAACATTTGGAAACATTTATTTCCCGATACGAATTTAAAACAAACAACAAAGGTTCATCAACCTTATTCAACAGCTGTGCAACAACGGCACATGTCAAGTGATCCACAACGGAAAACTCAACGAGACGTTTGGGGTAAACACAGGAGTCAGACAAGGGTGCTTTTAATCACCAATGTTATTCCTAATTGTGGTAGACTGGATTATGTATCAGACAGTGGGAAACGAGAAGACAGGGATATCGTGGACCGACGTGAATAACCTAGAAGACCTGGATTTCGTGCGTGGATGATTTGTGTTTGATGTCACACAAAATCGAAGACTTACAAGCGAAAACCGACAAACTGGTCGGAGAAGCAGCCGGCGAAGATAAGACTCCGGGTGAACATAGACAAGAAGGAGGTTATGAAAATAACCAACCAGCCAACCAACCAACAACAGTTGCAACAGCCAGCACCAATCACAATCAACGGGAGGGATTTGAAAGAGGTTACTTCATTCACTTATCTAGCTTTGAGCAGTGCCTCAACTACAGGAAGTCGGAACGGACGAGGATGTCAAATCGAGAGAGAATCGGGAAGGCAGGCGAGAAACACATTCATCAACCAACTGAAACCAATCTGAAAATCATCGTCACTCAGCCTCAACAACAAAATTCGGTCGGATTTTCAATACAAACGTCAAGTCAGTCAGTTCTTCTATACGGATCAGAGACTTGGCGGATGGGTCACAAAGAATATTTCCAACAGCCTGTTACAAACCTTTATCAACCACCAATAACTGTCTTTGCTGGATCTATACTGAAGATCAGATGGCCGGGCGGGCCGGAAAGAATCCCCAACAAGAAACTATGGTTGGGAAGAAACGAAACAAGAACCAATTGCCGCCCAACAAATATGCAGGAGAATGTGGAGATGAATTGTATTGACACTGGCTTGGCTGAGGAGGCCGCTGGTTGACATCGCGCGCGCGTTATGCCATTGCTCGAGTGGAACCAGGCTGAAAGGTAAGCGGCGAGTGGGACGTCAATGCAAGGGTGACATGGAGGAGATGGTGTGAAGAGGAGTTGAAAGAGTATGGACTAAGATGCATGGATGCAGGTGGAAAGTACAGCAGAAGGAAGACTGAAGCAAGTGGAGGCGTGGGGTTGAAGCCCTATATTCCGGTAGGAACCCAAGGGAACAATATTAATAATAACCAAAGGTTATTGGAACAGGCTTTAATGAATTTATCAGATTTCGGTAGTTCTCTTCAGCTGAATACTCTATATACAGGGATGTCTATACATTCAGAATGACATTAGGAGATGTAAGGCTGATAAGCAAATAGATAACATTGAATTAATCTTGCAGAAAGACAGGTGATGTTTCAAATAGTTTAACGGAGGAGGAAGTTGAGAGATCACATTTAAGATAATGTATTACGGTTCAATTACCCTACTTAGATAAACAATTCGTCACCAGAAAAAGAAGCTAAATATAGCAAGAATTGTGAACTGAGAAATATTAATAACAATAGTACTCGCGTAATGGAGTGTTTGCCAAAGTGGTTGAAAACAGCTAAAGTCAAAGTGCCAAAAAGTTCACTAAGAAAGCATCTTGTGGACTACGGAAATTTTACTAACGCTGTCGTGCTATTCACTTTTCTCAGCAGACAAAAAAAATAGGAAGATGCTTGTAATTGCGTAGGCTTGTGCAATTAGAGTTTATTCACCAGGTCTTTGCGTACAAAAGGAAATGGTTGTCACTCTGAATCTACCATTGTAGTACGTTTTACTTATTAACTGTTATTATTAACACTTTATTCTACCTCATATTATTATTCCTGATTCATTTAAATTTATGTTTTATCAGTGGCACTAGCCTAACTCGTTTCAACATTATTATTCTTATTACTATTATTATTAATATTTCTCAGTTCACAATTCTTGATATATTTAGCTTCTTATCCTGGTGACGAATTGTTTATCTAAGTAGTGTAATTGAACCGTAATACATTTTATCTTAATTTTAATCTCTCATACTCTGTTCTCCTTATCTATTTTAACATGACTTGAAAAACATTTACACGTGTCGTTTTGCATGATTAATTCAATGCAGTTTATTGGCTTATCAGTCTTATATCCTAATGTCATTCTGATGGTCTGTGTTTGTAAAGTATTCAACTGAATTCGTTATATCCTGCTTCAATAACCTTTGTTACTTTTTTAAAATTCAATCAATAATGAGGAGGCACTGGGTCTTAAACAGTCTATAGGACAGCAATCCTATGAAATGGAGGCGATCAATTAGAGTCGCTTGGTTACGCCGTGTATTGGTAATCCACTAAATTGATCTCATAATGAATTCTGCACGACATGTTTTTCTGTTAAATTTTTACTAATCATTTAATGATTTTTCTCTCTGTGAAAATTTTCCTAGATGAGGAAAGAGGTTCATACAACTCACAAATTCATCTTCCTGGATCACGAACGAAATCTGTTCAAATTATGGTCAGATCCACTCCTAGAAGTATGTTTGACTAATTGTTTTTTACTTATAAATCCTCATTATCCTAATACATATATTAATCTATTGTTAATTTATAAACTTTTCTAGATGATTTAGTATTCGCTTATCACATGATTCCATTCATCCTGACTGAATAAAAAAGAATGATGATCAGGAGGGCTTCGTGTGCTTTCGAAGTGTGTGAGCGGTTGTTACTTCCCTGCCGCTCACTCTATGGAAATTGACTTATTCTTAGGACACCTGAAACAGAAAGAGGGTTAGTGTTGCGTGAGTGCAAAGTTCAGGGGACAACTGCTTGAAGCCGGTCACACATGGCCTGTTTGAACTGGCTTTTAAGTTTGGTTCCTTATTATTAACTTATCTCTACTTACGGACGTCCGTAGGGTAAGTCGAGATGTACAATTTTCGGGGTCATTCTTTTCTATTCCCCTCTCTTTAGAGTGGAGAGATAACATAGGTGGCTGACATGCAAGTCATCTTAGGGAAACACCTTACTGCTGTTACATCCCTGTTTCCCAATAGTAAAACTTTGCTCACAGACCCCTAGCGTAATGTAAAAAAATCTTACACTATGCAGGTAACTGCTTTTAGTCTAATTGCTATCCTAACAACCTTCCTGGCATGATAGGACCTGCAGGATTAATAGTTGCAGCCAGTCTAGTTTGTCGGGTCATTGCGATGTGCAATGCCAACCACCACGTCAAGGTAGCAGCTATCGGTTGGGTTTATTTATTCCTAAGACAATGTATGCCGTCAGCATATCATCCACATGGTTAAATGCGTTACTTTTTAGATGCAGCCTACAGTTCGTTCATCTAGTATGTCTTGCGCAACTTATCTCATACTCAATACTTTGTTCTTGTATATTTATGCACTTATTTGTGGAGTTCATCATTGATATGCGTAGATAAAACTATTTAAAACTTGACTGACGAGAAGACACTGGAGCATCTGAACTTCGTGGATAACTTATCTAGTATCACACAAACTTAAGGATCTACAGGCGAAAACCAAAAAGTTAGCAGAAAAAAAACAGCGAAGACAGGACTTTAAGTGAACTTATAGAAGACGGAGGTGGTGAAGATACCGAACCACCAACAACAAAATGTACCAATCACTATCTATGGGAGTGGTCATTTCCTTAACTTATCTAGGAGGCATCGTTTCAACTACAGAATGCACAAATGGAGATGTGAAAAACAGGACCAGAAAATTTACTACACTCAGCATAAAGAGCATGATTCAGATCTTAAATATTCATGTCAAATAAGTACTTCTATATGTGGTTCAGATACTTAGAGCGTTACGGAATGGAATTTCTAACAGCATCGACGGATGCTTTCCCTCGATACTGAAGATCAGATGTCCAGAAAGCATAATTAACAAGGAGCTCTGGAAACGAACCAATCAAGTACCTATTATCTCGCACTAATGCAGAAGGAAATGGACGTACTCTGAGGACTTCGTCAAGTGACATCACACGGTAGACAGGCCCTTAAATGGAACCCGAACGGGGGGCGAGGAGTTGGGTTATCGGTTGATGGCATGGAAGAGATAATGTGAGGTGGCAATGGAAACCTATGAGAAATAGTAGAGTCAGCTAAAAAAGACTTCAGAGAACAGTGTGTAATGGAAATGTGCTGCTGAAGCCTTATGTTCCACTTTGAACTCAAGGGAATAATCACAATAACACATGCTACCTGTGGCCATTGTTTATATCAGTATAATAAAATTCAAATATTTATTCATAATATGCCTTAAACCATTTAGAAGGCAACAAGTATTTTCTCTTCATTTCTCTGACCGCTGTATATGTGATATATTAAGACCATGCTGTTGCAACAGGTAGGCGAGTAATTGGGTTCACATAAACCCATACCTCAGACCAAACCATATCGTTGAGCTAAAATTATCTGTTTTCAAGTATTGGTTTGTAGGGATTTTGTTTGATTGGTTGGACGATTTCATCATAAGCTGAAATCAGTTAGATAACCATTGAAAAACATGCAGGGATTTCTGGACAGCTGTTTCGTCCCATTTTGGTGACTCTTCGACAGTACTCACTCACCGGGGTTCGAACCCGGGACTGCACACCTATGAAGAGTCCCAAACTAGGACGAAACAGCTGTCCAGTACTCCCTGCAAGTTTTCCAATGGTTCTCTAACAGATGTCAGCTCATGATGATATCCTCCAATCAATTAATACACTAAGGCATCTTAGTGGAGAATAAATCATCTATTTATTGTCATACACCTAGTGGTACAAATTTTCTTATGAAGTATTCAGTTTAATTAATCTATTCCGTCAGATTTGTAGTATATATAAACCATATTTAAATTTCATTTATGCATCGTAACTTTTTCCTTTCTCTTTCCTCTTTTGAATATTTAATCCGTTCCATTGGAATTGAAGAATGGCCTTATTTATTACCGATACTTGGAGCTGTGGGTGTTTATTTACTTTTCTACATAGTCACGGTTATTCTCATTTTCTTATATCAAAGAGCGTAAGTTCCAGTTACTTGTTTCATGATATTTTATTTTTAAAAAAAACCAACCAAACAAACAGGATAATTCGAATTTTATGTTTATCTTTCGATTTTTTTTCCCGATTGAAGCTTTATTTGTTTAAGTTTTTGTTTGAAGAATATTAGAATAAAAAACACACCACTAGATTATCAATACTGAATGTTTACATGAGATTCAAAAAACACTGAGGTGCAGTACTACATTTAACTGTTAATTAAAGGCGAATTATTTTCAAGTGTTGGTTTTTTTTGTAGGGATTTAGTTTGATTGGTTGGAGGATTTCATGATGAGCTGAAATCGGTTAGAGAAGCATTGGAAAACCTCCAGGGAGTACTGGACAACTAACTGTTTCCTCCGTCCTAGTTTGGGACTCTTCATCAATACGCACCCACACTGCGGGGTTTGAACCCAGGACCTTCTGGTTACAAGGCGAGCTAGCTCGTAGACCATTAGTTGAAATGAAGTCACGTTTAAACAGGCTACCTTTTCATTTCCTTCGCGTTCCCAAGTGGAACATAGGGCTTCAAACTAGTGGCTTGAAGTTTCTGTAGCAGTGCTTATTTTACAGGATGGGGTACCTAGCCTCATGCCCAACCTTTCCTCTTTACCATCATTATTTCTGGCTTAGCGAGGTAAGAGAGGAGTGAGTCGGCCGGGGGTCGAACCCCGGACCATGTGCATGGTGGGCGAGCGTCTTAACTGCTATGCCACCGACGCACTAACATATTTAATTAGTGGATGGTGACTAGCAGTGGAATCCAGGATGTGCACTTCGCCCCATTTGGGACTCGTCAGCTGGATGTGCCTGCATTTCTCAGTGAGTGATGTTGCCACCGAGGCTCGAATCTAGTGTCCATAGTTTCAAACACCAAAGCGTTACCCACTAGACCACTTGGGCCACCAAACAGGCTACCTACTCTTTCCAAATCAACTCTTGGGAATTAATCTGGTTTTTGCTAGTGACTGACCACAGGAGAAAGTTACTTGGAGTTCTAATGAGAAGTCGTGACCAGTAAAATACATCCAGTCAAGTGTGAGGATGGATTTCCAACCGATGACCTTCGTGCTAAAATCACGAATTGGCACAAGTTAGAATTCATGGACTGGGCATTGAATCGGATTCCAGTTTCCGAATGGTATACAAACTTTCCTCGTGACTCGAAAGTCCTGGGTTCGATCCGTATCAGTGGGTTGGGTACTGCTGATGATTCCCAAACTAAAATGAAACAGCTGTCCAGTACTTTCTGTGGCTGGTTTTCAATGGTTCTCTAACACTGATATCAATCCGTGGTCAAACTCGAAAGACAAACCTAATCCTTACCGATCAATTCTTGAATATTGAAAAATTGTCTAGTAAACTCTAATAGAATTGTGATAAAACGTTAGAAGTTAAATGAATTGTAAGTTAGGAGGTTGATATAAGGAGGGTTCGAATAGATTCACTTCAACGTTTTCTGATATGCTTCCTAAGCTGGTGCCTGTAGGCAGTCTGTGTTTAACAGAATGTGTTTCAAGCCTTACTAAACTGCGCGTGTATAAGCTGTTCACAATCTAATGGCTTTTTCAAAGGGCATCCATAATGATAAATATCACTTTCATTTGAATGAATGTACCTTTTAGTTCGTCGTTTTTAGTGGACACAGAGTGAAGAGGGAGTGAGGAACCATCAAGTAGAGGAGTTGCATCAGTGGAAGGAAGGCAAGGTAATAGAGATGAAGATGAAGACAAAGATAAGTGAGGATTAGAGAGGTTTTGTGTGCGTTTTGGATTGTGAGGGCGATTGTTACTTCCCGGCTGCCCACACCGTGGAAGTTGGTTGCGTGACCGCAGAGCCCAGGGGACAACTGCTTGAGGCCGGTCACATGCGGCCTGTTTTTGTTTGTTCTTTGTTGTTTTGTGTGCCTCAGTAGCATACTTATCACTCCCGCCCTGTGACACGGCAGCAGGAAGCGCGGTCGTTGTTAATCCGGGCCACGGCCGATCCGGCATGAAATTTTGTGAATTTGTTTGGATCATGGTATTGGATGAGGTAGCTGCTTTTTGTTTAACCGCTTTCCAAACAACCTTCCTGGCATGGTAGAACCTCAAGAGACATAAGTCTCAGCCAGTATAGCTTGATTAGGTCATTGCGGTGTTCAAGCCCGACCACCACGTCAAGGTAGCAGCTTTCGGTCCGTTGAAGACATGAAAAGGTTGACTGCTTTCGATCATAGATGTCTGCGATCTCTGTCTCACGTTAGGTGGTTTCACAAGATAAGTAATGTTGGTGTTAGGCGTAGAGTGTTGGGCAAAGAGGGAAAATCAATCGACGAGGCTATAAAGTTACATAGACTAAGATGGCTAGGTCACGTGCTGCGCATGCCTAACCACCGCCTCCCCCGACGGGCATTGCTAGCTGATATAGGCGCAGGTTGGAAAAGAGCCAGTGGTGGCCAAACAAAAACATGGCATCAATCCATGAAATCCTTGACAGTTAAACTGAGTCAGGTAGGGAGATGCAGACTTCCGGGTTGGGGCCCTCGGGACTCTAGGAATCAATGGCTGGAGACAATAGGTGACATGGCTCAAAATCGTTGTCAATGGCCAGCGCAGATGTATTCAGTCTCTGTAATCTTTCATATTCCTTTCTACCATTACCCATTCTGTTTCACTCTTATACTTGTCAAACTCTATTAATTCTCTTCACTCATCTTCTTGTCTACCTCTGTGGGCTATTTGGAAGGTGGCAACTGGAACTGGTGCACTTCGGTGCCTAGTTCTATGTTGAATCCAGACAGACAGACAGACCTTTTAGTTCAGTAGGTTAAGCTACTGGTTTGTCACTTAACAGAATTAAACTCAATTCAGTATTGTTTTGTTTAGTCTCAGTGAGTGTGATGGTGTTAGTACTTAGAAAAGTGGACCGTCTATGTCACTGTTTGAAGTATTCATTAACTTTATGTTGTCTGGACCAAGGACATTATTATTGTTATTATTATTTTCATTATTATTAATGATAGTAACAGTATTAAAAGACGAAATCACATATTCTGTTTGTTTGGATAACCTACTTTTAAGTATATCACAATTCATCAATATCATTCTGACTGTTTGACCTTTGTATTCAGAAATTAACATGTACACTGACCTGACTCTAAAACAATTCATATGAATGTTTCAAGTAATCTAATTGTAATTTTTGTCTTTATTTTTTCAGAGAAAGACGAAAGCAATTTTACAACGGTATGTACGAATGTTCTATACTTTGTCTGGCTATAATCTACTACTTAAAATTACTTACTGTTTTTTCTTTTTGTGCTATCTTTTATGTGTACTGCTCACCATCAATAATATCAATGAACACAAATGTTTTCTTTTTGTTTGTTGAAATAAATTACATCTCTTTATCTAACTGATATCGTGCGTCGGTGGCATAGCGGTTAGGACGCTCGCCGACCATGCACATAGTCCGGGGTTCGATCCCCGGCCACAGACGCCCTCCTTCACCTCGCTAAGCCAGAAATAATGATGGTAAAGAGGAAAGGTTGGGCATAAGGCTAGCAACCTCATCCTGTAAAATTAAAAACACAGCTACAGAAACTTCAAGCCACTAGCTTGAAGCTCTATGTTCCACTTGGAGACGTGAAGGAAAAAAATCTAACTGATATCAATTCGTGGCTAAACTTGAAACCGGTCGAACTCCTTACGGACAAACTTTTGAAAATTAATCACATCTACAATGGTGACTGACTACAGGATGCAGTTGTCTCTGAAGTACTAGCGAGAAGCTGTGACCAGTGTAGTCCACAATTGTCAAAGTGGAGTGGATGCTTACAGAAAGGTTTTGGTTTAGGGCTGTAGTAAATCACGTACTGACAAAGTTAGAGTTCACAGGACATTGAATTCCGTCCCAATGAGGTCTTGGGTCCGATCCCTGCGCACCGATGAAGATTCCCAGACTAGGACAAAGCAGTTAGCTCTATTATAGTGCGCCCTAGATTCCATTGGTTATCTGATTGAAATCAATTCCTGATCAAACTTCAGAACCAATCAAATCCCTACAGACGAACGCTTGAGATATCAATAGAACGTTTGAAATGGTAACCGACCTCCATATTTATAAGTGAAGTGAATGCTGTAAAATATATCCTTTCTACTTGCCTCAGGTTGTTTTTAAGTACCGAAATAAAAAGGAATATTGATTGCTATCCAGTAGCAACATACAGTTTTTCTTCCTGTCCTAGTTTCAAAACCCAACCAGTGCTAACAGTAATTAGCTGTTCCAGTCTTTTTCTTTTGAGCGAGGAAGCTTAGTCGAGTTTGTGTGTCATTCACTTGTATTGTCCCATGTATATGTACTCTGCTAGGTACTCTAAATTTGTTTTTTTCTGGTTCGCTTTTACGAGAAATTTAGGGAGTTTTAATTGTATTGTGTATTCGTCGGTCTAAGTTGAGGCCTTGAAAGTTATCTGTATAAAAACATTAACTTCTTTTTTGTCTGATGCGACAAATTTATATGTGTGTAATCTATGTAATTCGCCTCTAAAACAGCTTTTATATACCACGAATTCGCTCAGTGATGACTTGTACGACTATGCTACCTAAAACATTATACTAATCCGTAGTTAATTACGCGTCGGTGGTTCAGTGGTAGATTGCCCACCGACTCTAATTCGTGTGTTCCGGGTCCGCCTTCGTTAACTGGTCGATAGTAAGCCCGGAGTAAAAGGGAGGCTAGTCGTGGGGTTAACAAACCCTAAGCCGTGAAGAACGCCACCACCACCCCTGCTGAAAGTCCAAAATGCTTGTAGCTCTATGTTCCACTTGGGACACAAAGGAATAAAATGAAAAGATAATTGCTCATCATAGGAAGCGCTACTGAATGATCTTAAGTAAGTGGATTACACAATAGTGCATAATTTATTAATGGACGTTACATCCGTTAGTTACAGGATTTCATCATCAGCTGACATTAGTTAGAGAACCATTGGAAAACCTACAGGGAGTACTGAACAGTCGTTTCGTCCTAGTTTGAGACTCTTCCGCAGTACTCACCCACCGGAGTTCGAACCCAGGACTTTTTGGTTACAAGGCTAGCGAGGTCGTATACCATTAAGCCACTGGGACCCGATTCACTGGCCGGCCTATGAATTCTAACTTCTGCCAATTCACTACATAGCGTGACCCCTAGTTAATGTCTTAGACGAGTATTTGTCTTCACACCCGACCTGCTGCACCCTACTTGTCATGACTTCTCACTAGAACCCCAGGCAACTACTTACCTGTATAGGGCAAGTCGCTAGTGAGCATCTCATTGGTTCCCTAACTAATGTCAGCTCATGATGAAATCCTGTAATCAATCAAATCCCTACAAACTAACAGTTGAACATCCGTTAGTATAGGTAACTGGAGAGTGAAAAATATTGTCACACGTAGCTCTACAAGGTTTTCTATTAGTTCCCTAGGAAATCGGATTTTTGTCATTCCTTTTTCTGTTTTTTTTGACTTCATCTATCATGGATAGTCTTAATATCAGAAATCGTATACACAACTATCGCCTGCTGTTAGATAAAGAATCTGAGTATTGTATAGATTTATGTATCATTCTGAAACGTGTGGTTTCATTTAAGTTTTCACGTCAATTTGAAAAATATGTTTCGGTATTTTATCCACTGTCTTTCTATCTATCTATGTGTTTACTAGTGTTTCAGTTGTTCTACTTATCAATATCAGTCAATATCAATATAACTGCTTTCACTACTTTTTCAAAAATTTTCATCAGTCAGTGTATCACATGCGACGGTTATCTTGTCTTGTTCGCATTACTCTGAGATATTGTGTGGTCAAATGAAATTCATAAGATGTCTGGTTTCTTTGTGTTGATTATAATATTAAATAAAAAGGCATTCTCATTATGGATAAAAACTATTTTGATAAAGTCATACAGTGTTTATACAGTAATATTTGCTGATGACGACCAAGTTTCGAGCACAATTTATTGCTTATAATCGTATCAACGTACTCATAAAACTTTCCAACTTCGTTTATATGTGATTTCACTATTCCTCATCTCTTGGTTTGATTGGTAGTTACAGTTATCCATATTTCTGGTATGGCGGATGAGTTATTCCTATCGCATATGTTGGATGAAGACTCGATGAACAAGGATTCAGTAATCAACCTCCCTCTACCTACCTGCCTTTATTACTTCTTCTCTTATCCTATTCTGTAGTTGTGTGTTAATGCATGCAGTGCAATTGCTGAGTTTCTTTTTTCTAAATTACTTATCTTCTCAGGGTCAATCATTCTAACCTTAGCTAAATTCTTATGTTCTGACAATTTGACCACCCTCGATCTACAAGTTTGACCTATGTAGTTGACCTCACTCACAGTTATTGTAAGATATTTTGTAAATTATATTATTTTGTCTAATTGGGTCAACAAGGTACTTTAACTGACAGAGCTTGTCTCTGAGTGAGTTTGTAGGTTGTAGAAACTTGAAAATGTTCTGCTTACATATGGGAAATTATACTTGTGAATCAACTTGTATCGTATACCTACCAATCGTAATTTAGACAGTAAGTGTTAAAGATTTCCAGATTGTGATGTTTTATGAGTTTATCGTCTACAAATTCTCTTAATAGATATAAATAATCAGGATGACTTATGTTAATTCGTACTTAGTAAAGCACCTTGTAATAAATAAGCATAATTTTTGATGAACTTTAACCTCCTATAATGTAACAACGACATCGTACTAAAGTGTATGTTTTGGTCGTAGGTACATCCCCTTTATGATTCTATTCACCCGTTTACAGTACTGTTGTAACGACAGAAGCCAAGGGCCAGGCAACAGATCGTTTATTAAGGAAATCAACACATATTTTTAGATTTTTTCATGTACATTATTATAGATTATTGTAAGCAAACAAATACAGTCTTCTGATTGGTTGTTTCTCACAGAAAGTTAACCTTTCATCTCTTTGTGGCTGTTTCTTGAATGTCAGATCATCTATATGTTAACTGTATCCGCCTACGCGAAGCCTTGGTTCTCATTTTATCACGACCAATATTGGGGACATAAACATTGACGTAAATTACTGTCCACCAATTTTGGCTGACAGCCAGCTCTCACCACACTGTTACTTCTAATAATTCTTTCTTCTTTTAAATGACGAATTAAAATGTCGTATCATCAGTAATAGTCGTCATTTCTCGTTTGAAATCGATGTTGAGTTTACTCTGATTGACTTCAAGTTTATATATGATGGGGAAGATTTGTATGTAGCTCAGGTGGATGATTTTCATGTAGTTGTGTTCTCTGAGCTGGATGGTTTATTTGCGAAGCTTTCATTGCCCCACTAGGCAATATCTTCAGCACATACTTTAATTTAAGGTCAGTTTTTCGATTTCTCCACGAGTTTATTAGTCATCTCTCCTGGTGACCTTGGTTGTTTCTGTGTGTTTTCACACCGTCTAGGCTACTTGTATTGGTAATAATTGTTTTGCTTGACCTAAATTTTGACCCTTTGTGTGTGGAATTTCCTTCTTATCGATTACCAATCGAAAACTTTGCAAGTAAACCATCCAGCTGAGAGAACACAACTACATGACTTCAAGTTTAATCATAAATTGAAATCAGTTACAGAACCATTGAAAATTAGAGAGTACTGGATAACTGTTTCTTCCTAGTTTGTAACTTTTCAGCAGCACGAACCCATGACCACATCAGGGATCAAATCCACAACCTTCTGTCTGTCTGTTTTCGACATAGAACTTTGCACCGATGTGCAGCAATTCAAGTCGCCACACTCCATCTAGCACACAAAGTAAGAGAAGAAAGTAGAAGAAATGCATAGTAGATACAGTAAACAGATGTGTGAGACAAAAGAATAGTATTAACGAAGAACAATATAGTTTCAATTGGAAATCATAAGTCACAAGGAGTGGATGCATCTGCTCCAGTCATTGAGAACGATTTTGAGCCATATCACCTATTGTTTCCAACCATTCGTATTTACCATCCTGAGGACCCCAACCAGGAAGTGCGCACCTTCCTATGTGACTGGCTTAAACTAACTGTTGTGGATTTCATTGACTGATGAAGCCATGTTTTGTTTTGAACGCCGCTAGCTCTTTTCCGGCCTGACCCTTTATCAGCCACCATTGCCCGTCGAGGAAGGAGATCGATGGCTAGGAATACGAATCTAATATCCTAATCATCACAATCGATGTAGCTTCACAGCTTCGTCGATTGATTTCCCCTTCTTACCTAGTACTCGATCTATGCCTAACCTGTATATTCCTCACCTTGTTATACCACTTCACATGGGAGATCGGACGCAGGCATCTTTGATCAAAGACAACTATCTTTTTCATGTCTTCCATTCTCAGTGGCCAGGTCTCACAGCTGGCCATAAAGGAGGATGGAGCACACTGTTAAACAGTACACACGCCCTTTGGTCGACAGCCAGCCGGATATCACGTCTACGCCAGAGACTGCGTAAACTGGCATGTACGAAACTAGCGCTCTGTATTCGTTCTGAGATTTTGGTCACTGATCAACCCGCTGGTACAGGCTGATGCAACTTCCCATATAAGTGAAGCGATCAACGTGTTCTACCACTTCACCCACTATTTCTAAGCTAAAAGTGAGTGTAGTCCAGTCCTTTAACATCATCTTACATTTGACGGAGGGAGCGAATCGCATGCCAAACATTCTTAGATTGCAGCTCAAGGTGTTCAGAAGACTGCACAACCTTCGGGTTATAAGGTTAGTCTTTTGGTCACTCAGCCACTGGGAGAGAGTCCAATGAATCATGCATTATAACTTCTGTCCATTCATGACCGCTGAGTCCACCAGGTCAGGTATGAGAATAAATACTCGTCGATAACATTGACTGGCGTTGGAATAAAAATCACGCATTGACAGAAGCGCAAATTTTTATCGGTTTTGAACCCGGTTCAGTGCAGTGGCTGAATGGCGAACGAGCTCACCTCACAACCTGTAGGTCATTAGTTCCGTTCCCGGTGGGTTTATGGGTACATACTTCTGAAGAGTCTGAGACAAGGATGAAACAACTATCCAGTTCTCCCTGGCTTCCATAGGTTCTTTAACTGATAGCAATCCTCTATCAAACTTTAAAGTAATCAGATCTCTGCAAATTAATACTTGAAAATTAACTGTGATCAGTTTTGTAGGGATGAATAAGCTTAATTCTTCAAAATGCAATGGGTTTATTTAGTGCACTCTAAATTGTTGACACCATACTCTTATTTCACACTCTGTTGTATAGATTAGTAAAATACTAGAGATTGACAAAGCAGTGGAAGCCTTTTTACTCATTTACATTTCAGTTTTTTTATTATATGCCTAAAGTCTTCATTTATAGTCTATTAGTAAAAAAAAAAGAGAAAGATATTTATTCTCTCTCTCTGCTATTACTTTCTGTTTATTTTTTAATAATGTATTCTTCTGCATATTCCCACGATTCTTATTCTTTATATATATGCTCTTAGAGGAGATCATAAATTTTGAATGTGGTTCAACCTGTCCAACTGTTCATTCCATCGATTCACCGAATTCTGATATTGCTCATCTCAATACAACAATATCTTCATCAGCTATAGCAACTTGTTCAACAGTCTCGTCAAGTACAATGAATCCAAGAATATCAGCTACTTTGGTGAAAAGAAGACGTAGATACGATTATGGAAGTACACTGAATTCATCAGATAATAATATTATACAAAATAATCTTAATAATAATAATAATAGTCTACAAATTCAATCCATTCCCGTTGATGATGAATCAGGTAACTGAGTGAATCCTTTCCCCTCACCATTCTTACGAAATTCACTACACTCCCTTCATCATAGTAATTAATATAAACACATGTATATTTCTGCTTGCTATTTGTTGTAATCATTCGTCAGTTATATGTATTTATTATCTCCCCTCTGTGCTGTAAAAGTCATTGGTTGCTGCCTTTTCCTTGTTGCCTCTGATTTCTTTTACTACTTATGCCCTAAGTATTATGTTGATTCTATACTTCTCATTCTTTTTCTCCTTTTTAACCGTCTTTCATAATCGTCATGCATGTTTTTTTCTTTTAATGTTCAGCATGTTTATTTGCATCTTTTCAAGGTATATTCTGTTGTGTTTTTTGTTTTGTTTTTATTCAAGGTTAACTAAACATATGTTTTCTTTTTTCTGTCCTTTTCCCCCTTCTAATTTACAGCTTCATATGAAAATCAAGTATTATACGATGCTCAGTCGAAAGTTTCATTAGAAGATTTGAAGAAGGCGGCGGCAGCAGTAGCTAAAAGTACAAAGAATAAGAAATCTACACGTTCAAATGATTCAACTGTTGCACAAAATTCATCTAACAGTATTAGTATATTTAGACCATCTCATACTGGTATCCATCATCAGATATTAAGTTTACCACAAGATTATCAGAGTATTGCGTTAACTAATTCAATAGAATCAAATATTTATTGTCGTAATTCTTCAGCTCATCAAACTCCAGTCAGTGAAACACAAGGCTTTCATGGTTGGTTTAGTTCAACTGATGAAGAAGAGGATGATGTCAGTGGGAATAATGAAGTCGGATTAAGAAGGCCAAAGAAACTGCCAGCATGCATTAAAAATTCTAGCAGAAAAACAATGTCATCGAATTTAGGATATTCTAAAATGGTTGGTCAGGAGAATCCGACAATATCACAGCAACCAACTGCTGTACACCCCTGTAATAGTCATAATAATAATACTTACAACGTTAACAATAATAATAATAATCGTGGAGGTAAAAATGGTAAACAGCAAGGAGACTTAAATGAAACCGCAAGTAATAGTCTAACTGAAGAACCGATTGATATGAACTCAGAACTTGTTCCCATGTACAAAATGAATGTGAGTTTATCGATTTTGTACAAGTGGTTCGTTACAAAATCATTTTGATTATGTGTCTTTGTAAAATAGAGATTTGTAGCTCAGGTGGATATTTTCTTTTAGAGTTGTTGTGTTGTGTGAGATTGATGGTGGTCTAATTATTACCATCTGAGCACCCAACAACTGTTTTTTGGACTGTCTACTGAGACTAAAAATGTGTCACCCACCATTGTTTTTAATATCCAATAGTGATGATATATGGAGTGCTGAGAAGTACATATGTAATCTGTTCAATATAACATCAAAAAACCAGAAAAGGAAACTTAGGGTTATATTGATTTTTCCGAAACTGAGCCAGTAGTTCTGTTTCCTGAAAGTATTGCTTAGGGATGGCTTGGTACATGGTCTCGTTCTCTCTTCACCCACTTTAATGATTTTTAATCATTAGAAGTGACTATTTACACTTATATTGTGCGTCGGTGGCACAGCGGTTAGGACACTCGCCGACCATGCACATGGTCCGGGGTTCGATCCCCGGCCGACTCACTCCTTTACCTGGCTAAGCTAGAAATAATTCTGGTAAAGAGGAAAGGTTAGGCATGAGACTAGCAACCCCATCCTGTAAAATGAACACTGCTACAGAAACTTCATGTCTCTAGTTTGAAGCCCTATGTTCCACTGGGAACGTGAAAGAATAAAAATATAAGTTTACACTTATGTTTAGTGAAAGATCAAATCCCGAAAAGCACTCATCCAGACATGAAGATAGGAACAAACGGTTCAGCGACGAGTCTCTTTTCGGCGAATTCATTTAGCTATACAGTTGCAATTATATATAATTACAGGATTTCATCATGAGCTGACATCAGTTAGAGAACCATTGGAAAACCTGGGAGTACTGGATAGCTGTTTCGTCCTAGTTTGGGACTCTTCAACAATACGCACCCACTGGGATTTTGTATGTGTGTGCACGTTAGATTTGTCAGACAAGAATAAAAATTTAGTTCAGTTTTTCTATAGTTTGGTTTGTAAGGGTTAGTTATGTTCTACGAGTTGATCACGGATTTATATCAGTTAGAGAACCATTGAAAACCCACCAGGGAGTACTGGACAGCTGCTGTTTCATCCTAGTTTGGGAATCATCGACAATACACACCCATACTACGGGGTTCGAACCATGGACCTGCCGGTTACAAGTCAAGCTCGTATATCATTCAGGCACTAGGACCCGATTCAATGGCCACTGCATGAATTCTAACTTCTACCAATTCGTGATTTTGCGCGACCCATTAAAATTTTACAAAAAGTTTGGTGGATTATCAAATTGCGATTAGGTGGGGGTGGGGGGCTGAAGAATAATAAGTAATAACGAGGGTTACGTAATATGAAAGACACACAGAAAAATAGGATGGTAAGGAGATAGCATGGAGACAGGTGTCTTAAATAAACTATGCAATAGGTAGAAAGGGTAAACAAAGGGTTAGTTAAAAAAAATGTTGCTAAAATATCATATTGAAATTCAAAAATAGTATTAGTAACAAAGTGGTTAAACCTGGAATTATACCCATGGTAGGAGGAAGGGATAGAGAAGTTTTTTGTGTGCACATAAATCAGGATTTTCCGTTGGGATCACTACAGTCTCAGCAATGCAAAGTATATGAAAGCTTAACGTTTTTGGGAAGCTTCTTTTGACTTTATAGATGATTTTGAATGAATTCTTCTTCTTACATATGGAGTGACCAGTGTTAAATATAATTTCAATTATAGCACTGCTTAGTGATTCTCTTTCACCTTTTCGTAGGCTAGCGGGATAATGTTCTATGACTCTTTTAGATAAAGCACGCATCGAACAACCTGTATATCTCGCTCCATATGAGCAAGTAAATTGGTTGTTACACATAGAAGAGGTCAAATGCGATAATTTATCTTTGGAGTTGTTGGAGAAAAATGGGCGACATGAGAATACTAATGTTGATGTGGCAGCAGAGAATTTTCTTTTCAGAGCAATAGATATTCTGCTCTTTAGGATGTTGACCATAATGTCGTCTTTGAACGCCACATTCATGTATAGCATCTTCTTCGGCAGAGAGATGGGGTGTTGTTTGTTGATTTTCGGTTTTATGTGTTTATCTGTAAATCCTGATAGATAGCAATCCTCAATTAGTGTCTTCCTCAAAAGAATGATCTCCTCTTCTACTGATTCGGGGCTGCATATTCTGCGGATTGTAGTCGCAAGAGATATTACCAGGTTTCTCTTGCGATTGATGGGTACCAAAATATAAGCGTTTGTCAACTGGCTGTTCCATATAAGCTTTGAGTATACTGTTATGTTCAAAATCCTATCGGTTTTCTCTGTTAGTCGGACGTTCAGATATGAGATTGTCTGTTCGGTTTCCATTTCATCTGTAAATTTTATTGACTTTGTGGCAGATATTATAAACTCAAAGGACATTATTTAGGTTATATTTGTTATCACAAATGATAAAAGTGTCACCAACATATTTTTTGTACAGAGAAAAGTTGTCAATAGTCGGTTTCAATGTAACCTTTTCCAAAATTGCGGTGAAAATATCTTCAAGTAACGGGTCTAATGGTGAACTCATAGCCACATCACCTTAACCGATTTGTTTTGTGTTCATAAACTGCACCATTGTAAGACCGAGAATCAATTAATTTTGACGTTATCACGTTGTCTAATTTGGACGGTTAAACTTCGAAACTGCTGTTGTCTTTTCTGATCATATTATTAGCGCTAGATTGTGATAATAACAATGGAAATAAAAACACCATAAAAGTTCACTTGGAGTTATTTAGCTGATTGGGGGCTAATAGTTGAATTCACGACTCGCATTTAATTTTATTTGGGATTCGTTACCTGTGTCCCAGTGGGTGATGGTGTTCTCACTAAGACTTGAAACCAGCACCCATTGTTTTGAACATTTAAGCTGTGCATCGGTGGCACAGCTGTTAGGACTCTTGCCGACCATGCATATGGTCCGGGGTTCGATCCCCTGCCGACGTACACTCGATATCAATGGTCGACCTGCAAAATTGGGCTACCGATATCACATTCTGAAAAAGTTCCATACTTGTACGAAAAATACGGCCTGGAATCATGCTATAATCTAAAAAAGAATAGACTACTGAATCTCGAAAATATTCGCTTGATTTGCAAATTTTCTCCAACATGTCATAATAAACTGTTAGTGAATGTGAGAAAAAAAATAATTATGTCACTTTGTCAATTCAGTATGCGTACACTATTCATAGGCCTGTTAGTCTTAATACCTGTGTTATGTATTAGGTAGGGTCGTCCGTCATCTAATATCTCATTTGAAGGTTTTATGTATTCTGTATTTGTATACCTTGTCTATAAACCTGTGAGTGGTTGAATTCAACTTCGGTTTTTGTTGTTCTGCCTTTGCCATAGTTTTAGGTCAGTCGACTAAGATTTCATCATTAAAATTACAACATTTCTTAGCTATGTATATACAATGAAACAGTTTCATTAACACAGCAGTCATGTAAGGTTAGCTGACAACGGTGTATTTATAAATTTCTAATATAAACAAATAGGCGAATAAAATTATCGATTATTGATTAATTCAACAATCGATTACTTCACTGTTATTGACTGCTGGTTGTTTGTTTTTTTTTTCTGTAAAATTTTTATCAGGTTTTGTTATATGTATCTGATCTCTCGAGAAAACGATATGGAACATTAAATAGGAAATATTTACTATATTTCTGGTAAGAATTTTTTTAACTTGCTTTTTTGTATGAAAATTTTCTGTTTTCTGATTGGTTAATGTTTTGGCCGTTAATTCGTTTCCATTCTGTGTATTCCATCCCCCCCCCACCTGCCCTTTACAGTATTCATGGAGAGCAAAAGTTGGATAGTGTACACTCCGATTGTTTAACTCCTGTGATCTCTGCGATAGCTAGCCTACAAAGTAGTGTTTGACAGAATTTAATCACTTATAGAGAATAAAATGGCGTAAACTGTTCCTAGGCGGAACACTCCAGCGAATTGTAAATCTGTGTTGTATAAATCGCTGTTCAAGTTGGCACCGACATAGTGTTGTGAGTTCTTTGTGGAGTTGTGGCTCATTCCTGACTGCATAGAAATGCAAATAGTTCATAAGTGATATATATATATATATATATATATATATATATATATATATATGAGTTCTTAGGTTAATCTTGATAATATAGAAAAAAAATCCCCATTTAGACACTTAGAAAAGAGAAAGATAGAGCGAAGAAATATTTACTTTTCAATTAGATCCTCATCTCGCTCTGGCTCTACTCTAATATACACGTATAGCATTTTTATTACAATACACAACAGTTCACCAATCAAGTGGCACTGATATGTTTGTTAACAATAATTGGTCAGTGTCAAAATGTCAAACGGGTGATAATTGACGAAGAAGAAAATCAATACACACAGTTAAAAGGCAGAAATGGTTAGAATAAATTAATTTAATTTTACAAGGATAACACGTAATTAAAGATGAAGTGGTCAGAAATGAATAAAATAACTAGGAAAATTATAATTTTTATAATTTTAGAGGATTAGGGGGGAGAGGGGCGAAGTAGTCTAGTTTATACATTCATGTAACGACGATGGTCAAGGTAAGGAAAGTGGCTGTACAAATTTCTTGTGAACACACAGGTTTGGCTTCTTCAAGTGGATTCCTATTGCTTCAGCTGTCTGTAGAAGAAGAAGTCGTAGAGCGAAATGAAGGTTAGTAAGAGGAATGCGATAGATCATTTTAAATGCAGTATTCACACCAATCTTATGCTGACTATCTAAAAGGTGTTCTACAAGCTAAGAATAGATCTTGTTTGTTGGACGATGTTTGGAAATACGATGATGAACCTGCCTAATTGTACGGCCAATGTAGCTGGCTCGGCAGCTGCAGTCAAACTGGTAGATACACATAGAGGAGGCGAATTTAGGTAGTTTATCCTTATTTCTCGAACGTAGAATAGGGGTGGTTTTTTATTTTTATTTTTGATTTACAGCTTGATTCCATACTGTATTTTTGGTACAAGTATGGAATTTTCAGCATGGATATCGGTAGCCCAAATTTTGCAGGCCGACCATAAATATCAGGTGTGCGCCGGCGTGGGCTCGAACCCCGGACCATGTGCATGGTCGGCGAGAGTCCTAACCACTGTGCCACCGACGCACAGAAGAAGAAGAGACAACGTACGTCTGCTGCATAATAAGCTCTTTTAACTGGATTCTTGAGGCGTTGTGTTATTATTTCGCTGATGTTGTCACTGAGGAACTGGAGTTTTATGAACATTGATTTTTTCGGAACTGTGGCCATACTGACTTTCCTAGGTGCTGAATTCATATTTTTTCTCAATGAATTTATCTGGATAACCTTTTTTTTCTAAATAATTCTCTAATAATCTTAAACTCCTCATTGAGACAGTCGTGTGAACAGATTAACGTGGCTCTATGAACCAGATACTTTACCAGGTTACGTTTATATTTCGAAGGTACAAAACTCAAAAAATGAGTGTACTGACCTGTTGTTGTAGGTTTCCTATACACACTCCTTCTTAGTGTGCCATCTTCTTTCCTTGCCATGAAGACTTCTGGGAATGAGATAATGTCATTACTTTCTTTCTCTATGGTAGAGTTTATTGCTGAAGTAAATTCAATAAGCGCATGAACTCTGGTGTGTAGCCGCAAATCGTCTTGTTGGAAACCTGCTCTGATGATTAAGACAATAAAAACGTACTCAATAATAATAATAATAATAATAATAATAATAATAATAATAAATAGCTGTTGTTTCAGGTAGCCTGAATAAATAACAGCAGGATATCTAGTTGGTTAAATATAATACATACTGTGTCATAAGCACAGTGCATTTTAGAAATCCTGTGGTGAAATTTCGCTATTCATTTTACTGAATCGTTTCGTTGCCACTTATGAAATTAGGTTTATAGACAAATACATGTCGAAGCACTGTCTCTTACTTTAATTGTTTAATCTATCCCATATTTTCTATAATTTTTGGTCCACATTTAATTTAACTAATGTGACTTGGCCTCTTCTACCGATACTTTTGTGATGACAGTGTCACAAACTTCTCAGTCTGTTAGGAAATTATTTGAAGCTCTTTTCAATCATTCCCATAGCTTAGACTTCATGAAAGCACAACGTCCTTTCTTCTCCTAGTGTTTATTGATTCTAGATGTTATAATGAATTACATTCTCTTATTTCTTTTCTTGGATTAGAAGGAATCTTACTCTCACTTTTTTTCCTTCACGTTCCCCAGTGGAACATAGGGCTTCAAGCTAGAGGCTTGAAGTTTCTGTATCAGTGTGGGGTTGCTAACCTCATGCCCAACCTTTCCTCTTTACCAGCATTATTTCTGGCTTAGCGAGGTAAAGGAGTGCGTCGGTGGTCAAGGATCGAACCCCGGGCCATGTGCATGGTCGCCGAGCGTCCTAACCGCTATGCCACCGACGCACTTAATCGATTATTAACTGACTACTTTGAGCAACACTGTACTTTGAGGCGACATGAGTTAGTTGTTACAGTAAAAGTGGATGCATATGTAGCATTACTTTGTTGACTACTTTAACTGCCTTATTGTTCGAATCTGCAATCGCAACTGAAATAGGCCGAGTTTAACAATACCTGGACTATGTATATTGTGTGACGTGGCCAGTGATACTATGCAGTTACCGACGCTTTGATAAGTGAAGCGGGGTTTGAACCGGTGACCGGGGTTTTGGAAATCAATTTCCTGGAATAGTGAAACTCACTTTCACCGAGTAAGCTTTCTGTACATTTCAATATATAATTTAAGTTACTATAGCATAGTAATTATTTATTTATTTGTTAACTGACTGTAGAATTATCGATTTACAGTGTATGATGCAACTAGTGAAGGTGTGAGTAGCAGAAATACTACAATCACCTTTTCATGTTTCAAGGTTGCCTTATTATTGTTCTTGATTATCTGTAACTGACTCTGATGTGTGGTCAGAGTATTCACTATACTCGCAAAAGGTAGGTCAGTGGTAACGTCGCCGACTGCAACACTGGGTAACCTTGGTTCGAATCTCAAAAGGCACATGAGCTCCTTGCTGAGGACTGCCAACAAGCACGAAGTCTAGATCTAAGGCTTCCTGCCCATCGCACCCAACCACCTTACAACAATTCAGAGTGCACTGCACTGTGATGTTGAGCCACCTAGCATAATGGCTGATGGAATTCAGTCTACATCCGAACGAAAGACTGCACTCAGGAGAGGAGTGATAATGTGATATGTGGACATGAAAACTAGAGATAGAAATCAATAAGGTTTCAGATGTTTTATGCACAGCCTACTCAGCCAAAAACAAAAAATATCACATGAATGTGAATGTGAATATCTAAATGTAACTCAACAATTTATTCTGTAAGTTAGTGTAAAAAAAACACTGCAAGGTAGAGTTTATTTTTGACAGAGTAATGCGTAAATGTTTTTGGAATGAATATTTGAAATATGAGTGCTTTAGTGAGGTGGTCGTATTGCAATTCACGGATAAAACTTAATGTATCAGATCAGGTATTTGATGAAAAAAAACTTCAATAATAGATAAAATTTTACCTTGGTTTGTATAGAAAACCAAAAAAAAATATACATATATTTATATATTTCGCATATAGTATGCCTGCTACTTGACTCTTATACTGTGAGCAGGAAGTTGTCAATATGCTGCTTACTGATATGGGTGTAGGATAGATAGTACACTAACTTTATGTACCAGTGTCAGTATCTAAAGGCTCAACTGTATTATTTATTGTACACAGGTCATTATTTTATCGGCTGCTAATTAATATTCGGTATAGTGGCATCATTTAATGTAGACAAAAAGATTAGCTCAGCATGTGTGTGCACTTTAGCATTTTTCTGGATCGATTAGCCTGCCTTTCTTTTTCTTTTTTGATAACGAAGACTGTAAATACAAGTAAACAGGCTCGTCATTATTTAAAAAAAATGCATAGAGTCAATATTAATATGCATCAATATATATATATATATATATATATATATATATATATATATATATATATATACTTGATATGATATGAGTGTTTTCGTTTGATTGATTAAAGTTAAGCTTTGGCTAGATATCGAATGGTTTCTAAAATAAAAAAGCGAATTAACAGTTCATATTAGTTTACAGCAAAAATGATTTGATATTACCTTTCTATCTACCGTGTGAAGTCGTATAATAAGGTGAGCAGTATTAAGGTTAGGCATAGGTGGAGTGTTAGGTAGGTGGGAGGAGAAATCAATCGACGAGGCTGTGAAGCTGCATCGATTGTGATGATTAGGACATGAGATTCGTATTCCTAGCCGTCGATCTCCTTCCTCAACGGGCAATGGTGGCTGATAAAGGACCAGGTCGGAAAAGAGCTAGCGGTGGTTAAACCAAAACATGGCACCAATCAGTGAAATCCACAACAGTTAGTTTAAGCCAGCTACGTAGGAAGGTATGGACTTCCTGGTGTGGGTCCTGGGGAGACGATTGGTGGTATGGCTCAAAATCGTTCACAATGGCTGTTGCAGATTCATTCACTTCTTGTGACTTATGATTTCCAATGAAACTACATTGTTCTTCTTTATTACTATTCCTTTGTCTCACACCTCTGTTTACTGTCTCTATTATGCATTTCTTCTACTTTCTTCTGTTACTTTATGAGCTACATGGAGTGTGGCGACTTGAACTGGTGCACATCGGTGCAAAGTCCGATGTCGAAACAGACAGACAGACAATTGATATTCCTATTGTTGGAATATTAAAACAAAACATAAGCGTACAATATTGATTTCAATGAAATCTTCAAACTTTGCTTAGATGTATATAGCGAAACATGAATATGAATAAGTAATCTTATTGTGAGTAGGGATAGTGCATCGATAGTTCAATGGTAGAATACTCACCAACTATACACATGATCCGAGGTTCGATTCCCAGTCGACTTACTCCTTAACCTTGTATAGTTCACTACCCGGATCGGGCGGGAGAGAGAGAGAGAGACGAGTTTCCTTACGCTGTAACCAATACAACGGCTGGGGAAACGTCATGGCTTGAAGCTCTTAGTGAGTGTGCATTGACCTGCTTCGTTCATGTTCAGCGTATGCGATTATTTTGTATGACATTACTACTAATGAATCAGTATAATTCTGGATTTTCCGAAACAACGAGGCCTACCTGTAGATCTACGGTTATTAAAACTGTTTACTAAAGAGCTTTCATTTATAATAAAAAATATAGTTAGTGGCTTATGTCATGTCTTATCGTATGTATTAATCTTCAGAAGAATAATACTCTATTTGGATCGGTGATCCGTTGATATTATCGTCAGTCTTCAGTAGGACGTAGGAACTTCATGTGGTTTAGTACAATATTACGCTAGGGGATTAGTACAAGGCAGTAGTAATGTAATGTTTGATGTTTCAAAGGGGCAAATAAATAACCGTCAGACTTAGTATCTGCAACATCACTATTTAGCTTTCTGAACCCTTAAAAAATTGAACCAATGAAACAGCATCTTTGTATACATTTCAGATTGACTATGGAACCTCATCGACAAGTTCCATGATTTAATTTTTCTCTTTTTGTGTCAGTGTTAACCTAATCTTGGTGAAAACATATTTACATATCAGAGCAGGCAGTGAACAAATCTGGTAAACTCATTTATTAGCAAGAACTTTACTTCAGGAAAAATTCACATCGTTATCGATCGGTTTGATTTTTAACCTGGTAGTTAGGGGATTTCTCTTACCACTTTTTCGTTCCGAACATAGGCCTTCAGACATGGAACATTAAATTTTCAGTAAGTGTGGTGCTGTTTTCACGGTGGGGGATGGTTGTTAGCCTCATGCCTAACCTTTCCTCTTTTCCAGTCTTTCATCGACTAGTAAACTGGGCGATATGTAGAGGTGAGTCAACCAGGAATCGATCCTCGCTCCAAGTGTGTGGTTGACGCGCATTCTATAGCGGAATCACTAACTCACCTATATATGCAAATACAGTGTCCACCCTAACGTAGAGCAGTACGACGTATGCCTGCATTCCAGATGCTTATGGTTTTTGAAGTTCAACGCTATTGGCGTGAAACCACAGAAGCGAATAGTTACCTGCTTGTTTCGACCGAATTCGAGTTACATGCTACTCCTAAGTATGCCTATGTTTCAAAACTTCACAAACATCAGATTTCTTATCCACATATACTGATCATTCATTTCCGAAACAATTCTTCTGTTTTTTGGGTTTCCTAATCACTGTGAAATTTATTACCTTAGAAATTAATCTTGAGTTTACTTCTTAAGGTCGTATCATAGGATTTCACCTTTTCTTTTCTTGACTTATGTGTAGGAGACTACCTCTGATTCTTTTATTCCAGCTATAATAGTTAACGTATTACTCCTGGCTAGTATCTTTAAACAATGACTGACTAAACAATCAGTTTTAAGCTGCTATACGGGTATCCTTTCTCTCCCTTTAAGTCACTGGTCATGTATACATCCTTTTGTGGATTATCTTCTCGCATGTCTAAGTCATAGGTATATATCACTATCCCTTTATATAAAGACACTGATACCGAGATATACCTTTCCGTTGCACCTTTTTGTGTGTTCGCGCTTCAGGCAGAACCAGAAGCCTATATAGAAAACTATATGCTCTCACTAGCAAGTACAAAAACCCAATCATACCCTACTAAGCTTGGGTTCTGTGCGATAAAGAAAGCATTAGGCGTGATACCTATAATTTATTAAATAGTCAGTAGAACAACTGGATCTCGTCTTCCCAACTCTTATCATTTATAGGTTCAACGTTTTCTTTCCTTCCTTTTTTCTGTTATGTGCTGTTTGTTTCTCTCTTCCTTACAAACTCTACTTGAAATATTCTCCTTCGTTCTTTCACACTCTCTATATCTCGACATTTTAATGACCGCTTAGGCCAGTAAATATGCTAGAACCTAATTTTCTAATACCTTCAAACACTCTGTTCAATTTTGGGTTTTGCTACCGACATGCCAATATGTTGTTGTCAAAACTAAATGACATTACCCTTAATCTATGTAAAATTTTATTTATTGTTAATTTACCAACTGGATGCAATATTGTAGTAAAATACTGAGAATTCCATTGTGTATCACAAGTACTGTTTTGGGATAAAGCAAATTATTATTAATATTATTAATAGAATGGACAAAGGAAGATACATAACTGTCTTATAATGTTGCTAGCGCGCAGACTAATGTTATTCGCGATCACCATTATCCAGCTTTGGCGCCTCTATTCCAACTCAACATTGTTTTTCAAAATATAAAAAGAAACTTATTCACAAAATTAGTATACCGGGCTTCAAAGCAGAACTCACACACAAACAGTTAACTAATAATTAACAATGGACACAATTGCTTAAGAGATAGGATCTCAACAAAATGTTTAAATTGCATATCTGTACTTGTATATGCACTACTCAAAACGAGATCCCAGAGAAACATCCGATTGTTAGATCTTTGGAGGTAACTGACATGATGGTCACATTGCAGACTTGATGGACAGAATTAGTCTTTGCAAAAAAAGAAAGACTAAACACATGAAATTAGTTTCTACCCTGTTTTCAATTAAAAGAAGCATTTAATTCTGTCACTTTTTGGATATGCAGGAAAAAGGAACTTCGTCAACGGACTTGTCGCTAGATACAACTATTAAAAGCAATCAAAGTAGAATGAATAAAGTTAACTAGTGGTAGTTTGGTGAATTTGTGATCAAACACAAGAGTCGAAATAATAAGGCGAGCGACAAATCGATGCAGAAATTCAAGCGAAATTTAGATTTTGTTTTAGTTTGTTATTAAGACACAAGCTTTCATTACTCTCAAGTCTGTGTGGAGGTCAACAGCACTCAGCGTGAAAATGAAAATAAGATCCGGATTTTCAACTCCAATGTGAAGTCAGTGCTACTATATGGATCAGAGACTTGGCCAGCGCGTCATGAAGAGCACTTCAAACAAACAACAGACCTTCATCAACAGCTGTCTTCGCTCAATACTCAAGATCAGATGGCCAGTTAGAAAAGATCAGCAACAGGGATCTCTGGCGATGAGCTAACTAACCAGAAACCGATTGTGAAACAAATAGGTAGGAAGAAATAGAGGTGGATTGACCGTTCTCTGAGGAAACCAGCAAGTGACATCACACGACAGGCTATTGTTCGAGTGGAACCCGGAAGTGAAGCGGCGAGTTGGTGGTCAGTGCAAGGGTGACTTGGAGGAGGTCATGTGAAGAGGAGATGATAGCATGTGTGCAGACTTGGAGCCAGGTGAAAATTCTAGCAGAAAACCGAACGCAATGGAGACGCGCAGTTGAAGCCCTATGTTCCTCTAGGAATTAAAGGAAATAATAGTATAATAATAATATTAATAAAGACACACTCAATGAGATAACCAAAACGAAATCTGTTGCTCACCAGTGAATAATTACAGAACGAAGTTTCCTTGAGTTCTAGTGAGGAGTTGTGATCAGGTCGACTGTGAGGAAAAATATTCCCCGAGGACATTAGCTGGCGGTAGTGATGAAAATTGCGTACTGACAGAAGTTAAAAGTCGTAGGAAATTAGATTCCGTGTATTGGCTGAATGATCAACAGATTCGCCTCTTAATCTGAAGATTTTGGGTTCGTTACTCGGTTTAAGCGTTCATGGGGATGCACTGCTGAGAAGTCCTATGACCAAACTTGAGACAGGAGAATTGAAAGATGAAGCATCGTGGAAATTTTCGACTTTGAATGCCGAATAGCGTCATTATTTTGATGATATGATTTGTTTATTATTATTATTACTATTCTTATTCCTTTACTTCCCCAATGGAACATTGGGCTACAAGCTAGAGTTTTGAAGTCTCACTAGCACTGGTGTTTATTTTTACGGGATGGAGTTGCTAGCGTCATGCCCAACTTTTTCTCTTTACCGGTCTTATAGCCGACTTCAAGAGGTTTAAGAGTACGTTGGCCGGGGATCGAACGATGGACCACATTCGTGGGTGGGCGAACATTCTACGGCTGAGCCACCGAAGCATTTCGGTGACAGAATTGTTAAGCACGAGAAAAGGTTTCTGGGTTGAGGATGTGTAGAATAAAAAAAGGCTATTCCATTTCAAAACTGAACTGAAAATCCTTGTGATCATTTGCCCTGAATCTGTTTTAAGTAATAATCGATATCCATCTGTATTTTGAATATTTTTATATTTGTTAAATTTTTTGAAAAGAAGTCAATTATATCGTTGATGTAGTTATTCTCTCGTTTACTAATAATTCCTTCATTAATATGTACTTATAACATGAAGGCTAACCATATGTAGTAAAAGCGTACTACTCATCACAGATTGAGTAATTTCATAACTGAAACCATGACAGGATTATATCGACTTTGGTAGAATTAGAAGAAGAATGTATTTGATGAAGCCTTCAGTCATCTCTTCCATTGTATATTAATTGGTTGAATTGACGTAACATTTATTTCTCCTAATTAAATCTACCAAAGGATTCATTTGTCATCATTTTTGCTTGATTTAGTTTAATACTTATAACAGATCAGGTTAGAAATTAGTCTTTAATAATAATAATAATCTCAGTTTTATTTCTCTTAACCTTATAGGTATTTAATTATTATATCGATTTTCTATGGGCTTCCTGCAGTCCAGTTGATCATGACATATCAGAAAGTAAGCGACACAGTTTGTTTTGTATTCAACTTTCTATAATTTGGTTTGTAAGGTTTAGTTATGTTGATCATGGATTGATATCAGTTAGAGAACCATTAAAAACCAGCCATAGGGACTACTGAACAGCTGCTGTTTCATCCTAGTTTGGGAATCATCGGAAGTATGCACCCACTGGGATTCGAACCCAGGACCTTCCGGTTACAAGACAAGCTCGTACACCATTCAGCCACTGGGACAACGATTCAATGGCTCATGAATTCTAACTTTTACCAATTCGTGATTTAGCGCTACCCCAACCATTGCTACAGGATGAAGTTTCCTGGAGTTCTAGTGAAGAGTCGCGACCAGTGAGGTCCAATTAGTTGTCACGTGTGTGGATGGATGTCCCACGAACGACAATGGTTGGGGTCGTCCAAAACCTCGAATTGGTAGAAGTTAGAATTCATGCAGTGGCCATTGAATCGGATCCCAGTGGCTGAATGGTATACGAGCCAGCTTGCCTTGTAACCGGTAGGTCCTGGGTTCGAACCCCGTAGTATGGGTGCGTATTGTCGATGATTCCCAAACTAGGATGAAACAGCAGCTGTCCAGTACTCCCTGGTGGGTTTTCAATGGTTCTCTAACTGATATCAATCCGTGATCAACTCAGAAAAAAATATTCAATTAAATAATATAACAGTTGGCCTATTTTGTGTGTAATACAATGCTCTGTTGAGAAAAAAACGTTTCAAGTGTTGGTTTACAAGGATTTGATTGGCTTCAAGTCTGATCACAAGCTGTGACATTGTAATACTAGAAGACGAAAGGCTTGGTAAAGGAACATTTACTTGGAAATTGGTATCTCTATATGGATAGTCAAATTATGTATCTTGCACAGATCTTCGTGTTGTGGTACTACTTCTGGCTTTCCTTCATATTGTCTTTCTTTGCGTTCCTTTCACGTCTCCCATGTATCTGCACAGTACTGTATCATTTGCTTTCTCTGACATCAAATGTATCTCCGTGCTATTTGATAATTTTTTTATGGCGAAGAACGACTCTTTATATATATATATACTACTGGTAAATCTTACCAGTAGCACTCGCCACAACATCAGTTCTAAAATGAGACGAAACAGCTTTCTCAGTATTCCCTAGTTTTTTCAGTGTTTCTCTAATCGATGTCCGCTATTGGTCAAATGTGAAAAAAATTATTAGTTAAGTTACTGTTTGGTGCAATTTCAGTAAGGAGTTAAGAATTCAAATGTCAATTATTTTAGAACAATCAGATTCCAGTACTATTTTCCACAAAAGCGTATGATGATTACGAGCGTTGTATGAAAATATTTATGTGTTTATTAGACAATGTTAAAATTTGTAAGCTTTGTTAGTTGAAATAAAGAGAAGGGTGTTGTGTATGACCCCTGAAAGTGAATTCATTACATAGCACAAGTTATGAACGCATTTCATTCAATATATTATAATAAAAGAGTTGTCAAATATAATTCGAGATGTATTTGTGCGTCGGTGGAACAGCGGTTAGGACTCTCGCCGACCATGCACATGGTCCGGGATTGGATCCCCTGCCGACGCACACCTGATATCTATGGTCGGCCTGCGAAATTTGGGCTACTGATATCACATGCTGAAAATTCCATACTTGTACCAAAAATACAGTATGGAATCAAGCTGTAATCAAAAATAAAATAAAGAATAAATGTCGTTTCTGAGTTGAGAAGTAGTATAAAGAGATGTAATGGCAGTGTAGTTACTACAACAGAGCTTGTACGTAGAACTTACTAATGGTATATTTGCAGTTGTGACACAGAAATACAAAGTTCATGTTATTGTTTAGGTCAGTGAGAGTAATTCAGGTTTATTCTAACTGAATCATTTAAATGAATTCAGATGAGTTCATAGTATGAATTCTATTAGTAGTGCAGCATCAGGGTTTACTTTAGCATAACGCTATACTCACTCTAAACCTCTCTTTTCAAGAAATTAGGACTAAAGGCCATATGTCTTTGACTTCTGGCGAACTGAACATATATGTATTTCACTTATATCTTTATTACGTTCAGCGTTACTGCTTGTCAAATAATTTTCAGTTACAGGATTTCATCACGAGATGACATCAGTAAGAAAACTACTGGAAAACCTAGGAGTACTGACAAGTTATTTTGTCCTAGTTTGGGGCTTTTCTTCAGTAGGCACTAAACAGAGTTCGAATCCAGGACCTTCCGGTTACAAGGCGAGCTCATAGACCATTAAACCGCTGGGACCCTATCCAATGGCCCATTGATTCCGACTTCTGCCAATTTATGACATAACGTGACCATTAGCCAATGTCGTGAACAGTAGGGTACAGCAGGTTGGGCGCCGAAGACATTGACTGGTGGTCGCGCTATGCCATGAATTGACAGAAGTTGGAATTCATGGGCCGTTGGTTGGAGTCCCAGTGGCTTAATGATCTTCGAGCTCACCTTGTAACCAGAAAGTCCTGGCTTCGAACCCCGGTGGAGGTGCGTTGTGATAAGGAATCCCGAACTAGGAGGAAACAACCGTTCTGTACTCCTAGGTTTTACAATGGTTCTGTAACCAATGTCCGCTCGTGATTTAATCCTGTAACCAATCAATGAAATCCCTATGTTGGAAATGATAATTATGAGTTCTGAGGTGAAGTGTATTTTTCTATGTTATGGAATTGTGGCTCTATCACTGGCTGACTGACTAACTGAATTATCAATGCAGAACTTTACATTCATGGTTCATATTTCTATTTGATTCTTCGTTCTTTTTTAACTGAAAATATATATTTAATTATTAAAGATGATCTTTATTGTGATTAGTGCTCACTTAGTGCTTTTTATAGTATCAATTTTCCAACTGTTTTAGTTTGCTTAGTTAATTGTTTTTTTCCCCTTCGGAAATGTTAAGCGATTGCAAAATGTCCTCAAAGTCCAAGCTGTGTAGAATGAAATGTGAGAAAATTTGACTTCAGAAATCGAGAAAATCTAAAAAAAATGTATGCATAAACATTGACACGGAAGCGTTTGTTGTTTACTAGTAACGGTCAACTGTTCTAATTTATATCCCTCAGTAAATATTTTTGATTTTGATTACAGCTTGATTCCACACTGTATTTTTGGTACAAGTATGGAATTTTCAGCATGTGATACCGGTAGCCCAAATTTCGCAGGCCGACTGTAGATATCAGGTGTTCGTCGGCAGGGGATCGAACCTCGGACCATGTACATGGTCAGCGGGAGTCCTAAGCACTAAACCACCGACGCAGATGTAAAAGATTGAATAAATGCTAAGCAAGTTACATTTTGTCAGCTAATGAGAACCGTGTTGAGTAATTATACTACAGAAGAAATATTTATACAATGAGAATTGCTTCCTCGGTTGAATTTGTAATGAAGGTAACAGCTTATATACTTTCGAAATGTTTACTGTCAGTAGTCAGAATACATATTCCAAAAGTCATATTTAAACTTGTTACTCCCAGTCAGCTGATATATATATATATATATATATATATATATATATATATATATATATAATTCACGCCTGACAAATATTTTCAAGTGCTTGTTTGCAAGGATTCGATCGATTTCAAGATTGATGAGGAATTGATTTCAGTTAGAGATCCATTAAAAACCAGGAAGTAGTAGACAGCTGTTTTGCTTTTGTTTGCGACTGTTCAGGTTACGAGGCGAATTAGTTGACCATTCATCCAGTGAGACGGTTCTCAATGGTCCATCGATGCTAATCAGTGGGGTCCACCACCAAGTAGGGTGTGATGACAAGTCCTTGCCGATGATATTGGCTGATAGTAACGCTGTATATTGTGAATCCTCAGAAGTGAGAATTGATGGATCATTGGATTCCGTCCCAGTGACTGAATGGTCTATGAGCTGAAGGTTCTTGGTCCAATCCTCCATGGGGGGTGCGTACTGTCCAAGAGTCTCAAAAACGAACGAAGCAGGTATCCATTACTCTGTGGTTTTCAGTGCTTCTCTAACAGTAGTCAGTTCGGCATCAATCTTGACAAATATTTATTCGCATTAAGATGCTGTTCAACCATGAACATTTTCCTATTCGTTTTAGAAGGAGTGAGGTAAAAGGTACAATTTTGGCCTTCATTTTCTGTTGTTTATTATATATTTCAAAATTGGTATGATTGAGAAGTATTGGCGTTTCAGAGCATCTTAAAACGTTGGATGGTTTGATTTTGTAATACATTTCTCCTGATATTGTGCTTACAGTCTCCTTGTTTCAAAATTTTATTTTTTACTCTAGGCTGTTTTTGAAACTGGCAATGAAGATTTGTGTTATTACAATTTTGAGTGTGCTCGTCCACTTGGTATCTTCACAGCTTTCAATAACATCATTTCAAATATTGGTTATGTCATGTTAGGATTATTATTTCTAGGCCTTACTGCACGACGGTAAGTTTACAGTCAGTTGAGAGGCTGACAAGGCATGATCTGTATCTTTTTGTATGGATCCGTATATATGACAACTTTGTAAAAATTAACGAGTTGAGACATTTGATTTTTGTCTGTGAAAATTTGACATTTGATGTGAATATATATCATGATTAAACTCTGTAATAGTATCGAGCACTTTTGTTCAGCTTTAAATAAAAATACATTTGTTAATTTAGAAAAGAGAAAGATTGAGCGAAGAAATATTTACTTTTCAATTAGATCCTCATCTCGCTCTGGCTCTACTCTAATATACACGTATAGCATTTTTATTACAATACACAACAGTTCACCAATCAAGTGGCACTGATATGTTTGTTAACAATAATTAGTCAGCGTCAAAATGTCAATTGGGTGATAATTAACGAAGAAGAAAATCAATACACACAGTTAAAAGGCAGAAATGGTTAGAATAAATTAATTTAATTTTACAAGGATAACACGTAATTAAAGATGAAGTGGTCAGAAATGAATAAAATAACTAGGAAAATTATAATTTTTATAATTTTAGAGGATTGGGGGGAGAGGGGCGAACTAGTCTGGTTTATACATTCATGTAACGACGATGGTCAAGGTAAGGAAAGTGGCTGTACAAATTTCTTGTGAACACACAGGTTTGGCTTCTTCAAGTGGATTCCTATTGCTTCAGCTGTCTGTAGAAGAAGAAGTCGTAGAGCGAAATGAAGGTTAGTAAGAGGAATGCGATAGATCATTTTAAATGCAGTATTCACACCAATCTTATGCTCCCCATCTAAAAGGTGTTCTACAAGCTAAGAATAGATCTTGTTTGTTGGACGATGTTTGGAAATACGATGATGAACCTGCCTAATTGTACGGCCAATGTAGCTGGCTCGGCAGCTGCAGTCAAACTGGTAGATACACATAGAGGAGGCGAATTTAGGTAGTTTATCCTTATTTCTCGAACGTAGAATAGGGGTGGTTGTGAAGAGACAACGTACGTCTGCTGCATAATAAGCTCTTTTAACTGGATTCTTGAGGCGTTGTGTTATTATTTCGCTGATGTTATCACCGAGGAACCAGAGCTTTATGAATATTGGTTTTTTTGGAACTGTGGGCATATTGATATTCCTAGGTGCTGAATCCATATTTTTCTCTAATAATCTTAAACTCCTCATTGAGGCAGTCGCCTGAACAGATTAACGTGGCTCTATGAACCAGATACTTTACCAGGTTACGTTTATATTTCGAAGGTACAAAACTCAAAAAATGAGTGTACTGACCTGTTGTTGTAGGTTTCCTATACACACTCCTTCTCAGTGTGCCATCTTCTTTTAACTAATCGGCGCATCTGAAGTAAACAGTCTTTTTAATAATGCAATATGAGCTATTTACTCAAATTGAATAAATTAAGGTCGATCATTATTTGTTTACTTGTATTGTTTGTTGATGTCAGCATTACAGGTTACTCTTTGCAACTATAGTAGTTAGCCTTTCCATGGTTTCATATTAAATATTAACGTCCCATTTCCTACATATATAATCTTGCTTTTTTTTAACACCATTCAGTGATATCCTTCACAGACGAACAAAAAATTTGAATCCTAATTCTCAGGTGAGCATATTGACCTCTTCTATGTTATCGATTATTTATCCAATGAAATGTCTTTTAAGATGTACCTTGTGAATATGATGACTAGACACGCTGTATTAATAGGTACTTCTGTCAGGCCAGTAGATCTTCCTTTTAGCTATACTAAACCAACAGTCTGTCTACATCCGTAATTGAAGAGTTAAGTTATTTCTTTGTCAATTACTAGAACATCATCACATCTACTGCAGGCCAGCAGTCACCGTATTTCTTGATATTGATCTATAAGGTCATAGTAATATTAGTCTCACTGTCAAATTCAAGTTTAATAATGTTTAATTGTATGCGGTCTTACTGTGACTCACTGACTGGTTTCAACATAGAACTTTGCACCGATGTGCAGCAGAGGCAAAAGAACAGTAATATCGAAGAACAATATAGTTTCACTGGAAATCATAAGTCACAAGGAGTGGATGCATCTGCACCAGTCATTGAGAACGATTTTGAGCCATATCACCAATTGTCTCCAGCCATTGGTGTTTAACTTCCTCAGGACCCCAGCCAGGAAGTCTACACCTTCCTACGTGGCTTACGCTAACTGTTGTGGATTTCACTGATTAATGCCATGTTTTGGTTTGACTGCCGCTAGTTTTTTTCCAGCCTGATCCTATGTTAGCTAACATTGTCCGTCAGTCGTAACACATGTCCTAACCATCTCAGTCTTTGTAACTTCACAACTTCGTTGATTGATTTCCCCTGTTTACCTAGCACTCAACCGATGCCTTACCTCAATATTGCTCACCTTATTATGCCACTTCACACGGGAGATAGAACGCAGGCACCTATGATCAAAGACAGCTAATATTTTCATGTCTTCCACTCTCAGTGGCCAGGTCTCACAGCTGACCATAAAGGAAGACGGAGCAAACTGCTGAGCAGTACACACGCCCTTCGGTCAACAGCCGGCCGGATATCACATTTACGGCAGAGACGGCGTAAACTGGCATGTGTGAAACTAGCCTTCTGTATCCATTCTGAGATTTCGTCAGCGATCAACCCACTGGTACAGGCTGATGCAACTTCCCATATAAGTGAAGTGGTCAACACGCTTCACCAACCACTTCATTCCCTATTTCTAAGTTAGGAGTCAATGTAGTCCAGTCCTTTAATATCATCTTACATTTGAAGGAGGGAGCGAATCGCATGCCAAACATTCGTAGATTGCAGCTCAAGGTGTTCAGAAGACTCCGCATTAAGTCAGCGTCCTCGCCTAGAAGGATTATATCACCTGCGTATTCTAAGTTCCCTGGTAATAAGTCAATCTCTGAATCGCTGAAGTGAGTTAGAGTTAATTCCATTAGTACATCTATGATGAAACTGAATAGAAATGGGGAAGGTAAGACCTCAGCAGCTCTTACTGCATGTCTGTTAATTCTGTTGTTTTGATTTTAGGATGTACACCAACTATGCATGTTCGATCATCGCTGTCTCCGTAGAATAGCTTCACCATGTAAGCCATGGATACTTTCCTTCTATGAGGGGTGTTACCTTGAGACGTCAACTACAGTGCTATACCAGCCACTTTCATAAAGTTTGCCGTTAGGCAGCCGTGAAACTAGTGAGACAAAGCGAAGAGGCGATCGCCTCAATGAAGGATATTTTTTGGATTAATATGTGTTGGTGTGTATTGTAACTCGGTAGGTTGGGGTTTAAGGGATCATGGGACTCATTGCGTCAAAATGTTATCAGGAATGCCTGAGAGTTGAAATTAGTGTCGAAAATTCTGTATCTCCTTTCTTTCTTTTATTTCTGAAAATAATTTACAATAATGAAAGCTCTGCCAAACGTACTTGATAAGTCAGTATAGCGTTCCCCAACCCTTTTATCCTCTTCCAATATTTTTTGTTTTATCCTTGTGTATATTATCTATATGTGATCATGCTCACAGTCCGGGGTTCGACCCCCGGCCGAATCACTCCTTTACCTCGCTAACCCAGAAATAATGCTGGTAAAGAGGGAAGGTTTGGCATGAGGCTAGCAACCCCATCCTGTAAAATAAACACTGCTACAGAAACTTCAAGCCAATAGCTTGGAGCTCTATGTTCCACTGGGGAACGTGAGGGAAAAAATTGTGGCATATCTCTTGGTGTCTATATTATAGGCAGTTTGTGTTTTTCATAAAGAAATAAACAGTTCATATTTGACTCTGATAAGCACACGTTCGAGTTCCCTGGGTGTAGCAAACATAGCCTTCTCATAAGTGTCAACATTTCTAATCCCTAGGTAAATTAAAATTTCCTACTGATTAACTGATGAGTCTAAATGTGAATCTTTCTGATGACTCTTCACTAACATCTAATGATATTGATTATTTCAAGCATTACTTATATTTAATTGAATTTTTAGATTTTCCCGTCGGTTGATTGGACAGAAGTGCACGGTCTCAGGTTGACATGTCGGCTTCTGTGCAGATTCCTCGACGACGTCTGGGCATTTAATTAAAATTTAACTGGTGGATGGTGACTGGCAGTGGAATCCAGGATGCGCATTTAGTCCTATTTGGGTTCGAGACTCGGTGGGAAAACATCATCACTCACTGGAGAATGCAGGTACATCCAGATGACGAGTCCGAAATTGGACTAAATGCGCATCCTTGACTACACTGCTAGTCACCATCCACAAATTAAATTAATTATATTTATTTATTCTAATTAACTGCCTGAATTTATCGTATATCTTATTTTGATTGCCTAATTTAATAACTGATTTTTTAACTACAAAATCAAATTTTTTAGGTATTAGGTATTCCACAACACTATGGACTGTTCTATGCGATGGGTCTAGCATTGACTATGGAAGGACTGATGAGTGCCTGCTATCATATGTGCCCAAATTTTTCAAATTTTCAGTTTGGTAAGTTATCCAGTATTGCTGAAAAATGTTTGTCTACATTTCGTCAACCATAATTTATTTCAAGAGTATCAGAATAATATTACTGATAAATGATAATAATATTTGACTTCCTGCATTATTTCATCATGTATGTACATAACTCGATGTTGAACTAGTGTGCAGAAGATTTATAGCCAGCATGGATATTTTTTTGATTTAGTTGTGTTATCCGAACTGGATGGTTTGACTTCGAAGATCTCATTTGCCTACTAAACATCTTCAACGTTAAACACAATGTGAAGTGAGCTATAGGAATTCCCCATGGATCATATATATATATGTCTTTCATTGTATTCCTCACTGTGAAATTCTCGCACAAATGTATTCACTTGTATTGATTTTTATCCTTTCTTTTGCCTGATGTGTAACCTTTTGGTCATGTGATTTCGTAGAGATGTGCCTCATTGGCTTAAGCATTCTGCTTCCAACCAACAGGACATGGGTTCGAATCCCGCTCCACTCATCCTGAGCAACTGCATAGCATCACAGGCGCGCTCACGCAAAAAGTATGATTCAGCCTGATACTGGGTAGTTCGGTTCCAACTAACTTTTGACTTCTCTATCGATTGATTAATTTGATTTGTGTCAACGCGTTTGTTAATTAAAAGTCAATCTGAACGAAGAATATTCTTTTCAATAATTTCTCTACTTCAGGTTCTTACAATTACAAAATATAATATTTGTTGTCGTTCCAATAAAGGCCAGTTATGCGGTGGATACATTTCTAACGTAGAATAACAAATTAGTAGTTATGGGGTGTCAGAATAAATAGTCGTATTTGTGTGACAAACGTGCTAGGCTGAAATCGATTACAAAATATTGTAAAATGGAAGACAATGGTGGTGTTTAGTCGTAATAGACTTGTAGAGTGTGAGGTAGGAAATTTGACAAGTCAGTTCAAGGTTATAAAAGGTGTCAGGTGAGTGAGTGGCTAGTACAAAGTGGTCTGTGTTAAACAGGAGATAGTGAGACTGCAATGAGAGGTTCATGATGAAATAACGAATATGTGAAATGAAACAGGTGGAGGCATATATTGAGAAAAGAGATAATGTCACTGATAATAAGTCCTGATAGTATAAATGAAGAATTCGATAGTATTGAGGAATGTTTGTATGAAGGGCATAAATTATGACGAATAATAATAATCGTCCTGTCTATTTTTGTTATTTCTACATTTCTAACCCCTAATTGCACAATGTCAATTGTCTTAGTTATTATGATGCTACTTTGTTTGTTTTATCCGTCCCCCTGTTTATTATGGCATTCTAATTCCTAACAGTCGTAATAATAATAATAACTGTAATAATAAGCAAGGGAAAAAAACCAAGAGGGTTAAGGAGGAAGGAACACTCTTGGTGAGAAGAAGAATCATCAATTGTCAATTGCAAATTGATCTAATTACTGCTTCTAGAAATTCTCTGGCGTTGTTTGAGTTTCAGTATTCATACGAATGTGCATCATAACTGCTAGCTTGTGCTCATAGATTTGGAGACGAAGGGTACAACTACTTTGGTTAACATACTTTTGTTATGTACTCGTCGAGTAGTCAATAGTCCTGACTCAGGAAGAGGGAAATCAGGAGACCACCAGGTTTACGATGATACTTGTATTTTCCAGACAAGGAAAAAAAATGTCACACAAGAGTGTGAATGGGATGGTACGAATGTACGAAACGTGTGAACACAAGAATAATGTACAAGTGTCTAATCAAAAGTATATATGAAAATGGCTAATAAACATGAATCAACAAGATAACGTCTTATCATGATTGGTTGTAATGTCATGTGATAACAAGGTCATACATTGTTTATTTAGTTAGTGGACAGACAAAAGCATATTGTCAGTTATAAAGAAATATCGATTCATTTACACATAGCAAAATATGATAGACTGTCAAGAACAAAACACAAATCATGTGGGTACATATCAAGTTTCTTGTTCTGAAAAAACGTCATAAGGAAATCTCCGAACTGAACCAGTCACAGTCAGATTTACTTAAAAAAATACTGATATTTTATCTATAAAGAACTCCTAACGGCGAGCTTCACGCTGAGACTAGCCACGAAGACGTTGTCTAGAAGGGCAATGGAATCTCCGCACTGAAGTTATTCAGCTGAGAAAGTAAAATATTATTCATAACTCAATGTTCATAACAAAAGCTAACTGCTTGAGTTAGCAATCGGTTTCCGGTAGTAATAATAATAATAATAAGGCCCGTTTAAACGGGTAATACTACTAATTTTCTTCTAAAAATTGAAAGAAAAGTCGGTCATACGCTTTCGTAAAATATGTGGACAAGATGTTTATGATCAGTGGATCAGATGTTGAAGTCATATCCTTAGTATAGCAATACGCACCTAATTATTCAACTTGTCAGGAATTACATAAGAGCGTTTACGTTGAAAAATATAGTCAACTGTTCTGATACGACTAACACAAAACTTTAGAAAGGATGATGAAAAGGTAAAGAGTTTCCCCATATTTTTCGACTATTGCAATAATTCCCGTGTATAGGACTTTTCAGCCACATTACACAACAAAAATCAGTAAGTACTGGTTCATTACGCCTTCCGATTGTACTTACAAATTCACGCGTAGCTGCCAGTACAAAGTAATAAGCCTCTGTTAATCTTCTTAAGCTTGTCCCGATGAGCTTTGGTTTAGGTGGTTTGTAGGCATTTACAAACTCACATTCTGACTAATTATTATTATTATTTTTTATTACAGCTTGATTCCACACTGTATTTTAGGTACAAGTATGGAATTTTCGGCATGTGATATCAGTAGCCCAAATTTTGCAGGCCGACTATAGATATCAGGTGTGCGTCGGCAGGGGATCGAATCCCGGACCATGTGCATGGTCGGCGAGAGTCCTAACCACTGTTCCACCGACGCACATTATCGAAAGTCCCTGTGGTTTAAAAAAGTTTAATGCGCCAAAAGTATTCGACTTTTTTTCGTTTTGTTGGATCTATCAAATGCAAAACCTTCAACCTAATCGTTTCAATCGTTGACTCCAATTTTGACACATATATACCGTCATTCTGGTCCTAGTTTTCGTCCGTCAATTTCTTATGTGTTGTTATATGGGCAGATGCATATTACTGTCTTAGTCACATATCTAATCTTCCTACTGTAAATGGTTAGTCAGTCTTCGATTCTTGTTCCACTTGCTTTGACAAAATAATCAAGGAATGTGTTTGTATGACGACATTTTCTGTCACACGTTCCTGTGTTGACTAATAACTGACTGACCGACTTTCAACACAGACATCCGAACATAAATATAGCTAGTCAACTTACCACACTCCATAAAGCATACAAAGGTAGAGGGAAAAGAGATTCAAAAGAACTGCAATGAGCAGAAATTTGCGGGAGAAAGAACAGTAACATGAAATAACATCATGGTTTAACGGATATAATAGATTACAAACATTAAATACATCTGCGCCCTATGCATAAACCGTTCTGAGCCATATCGCCAATGTATAGATGAATCTCAATGAATAATTACTCTTTACTAATAAGGCTTTATTTTTGGTATTAGATGGTTGGAGGTGATCGGCCACAGGAAGCCTTGGACCTAGGTTTCATGCTTGGCACTCACCAGTCACCAAGGCGTAACAGTAACCTTGAAGGAAGGCTCGCGATTAACCTCCTGTAGGACTGTATTGAGTATTTTTAATTGCACACTAGTTAGTAACTAGTGTAATGTGTGTGTCTAGCCCTATCTTCACTGCCGACTGAATTCTATCATATAACATAACATAACAATTTCGCTTTATTCCAGAAACAGTACTTGTGGTACAGTGTGGAATTTTCAGCACATATCTACAATATTGCATCTAATTTCATCGTACATTTAAAAGGAGTATTATAAAAAAAAAAAACAAAAACAGAAATAACCAAAAAAAAATGCAAATAAAATACTGAGTAAAAAAAGAAGATCAACACAAATAATGAAAAAAAATATTTCAGTATTAGTTAGTGGAAGCTACGATATGTGTATGCGTGGTGAACAGTAACAGCTATAATCATACGGGAAATTATGAGATGTTCTTAAAAAAAAAATGTTTATAGCCAAGATGATCAGTTAATTTGATTGAACAACACTAAGCAATCATAAGATAAACATTTCAGGTTTTTTTTGTCAGTACTAATGCGGTTGTTTGTAGTGGCAGTGTGAGGAATCATACATAATACAAAAATTTTTAAGATGGTGATAGTGGCAATAACAAACAAGATTGTCAGTTAAATAGTGCCGAACAAAGAACAACCACAAAACTAATGTTACATGATGGTTAATGACGGGACAATTTTTAATAATCATAGTGATAATATAGTCGGACCCAGTAGATGTACAAAGAAGGAATAGAATAAAGAATAAAAATGTAAGCCAATGATAATAATTTTAAGCAGCTAAGTATGTTTAAGAAGGTTTTTCACTATAGAGTACAAATAAGAGAGTGTAAGGGGGAAAAAAAAACAAGGGCCAAAATTATGTTATTAACAACAAAGCAAGTCATAGGTTTCACGCTTAACATTGTCTCTGTCACTTAGAACACGGGCCAAATATGGTATCGTTGAGTTCCTATACTTGGTCGTGCGAGCATATATTATTTTATACTGATTTCTGGTTCTACCTGATGAGATGCAGGGAGAGAGTTGGGAATAGAGGGGGTGTTGGGGGTCAGAGAGTATGGTTTTAGACCATTTCTCACATGTATTCAGATGCTTATCCACTAATGTTGTGACGAGCTGACTGAGTTTTACACCGCTAGTCCTGCTAACTACCTTCAACATCCTTCTCAGGATGGTATAATCCTTTTTCAGTAACCCAGGAAAGACTAACGGGGAACAGTAAAGTAGAATAGGTAGGATACGAGAGTTGACAAATTGTGTAAGCAGAGGTTGAGGGACTCCAGTCAAGCTTGCAATGTGGTCAGCATTCTAGGTGGTTCGCCATTGCGGTGCATTGGGAATTGTTGGAAAATGAGTTCCTTCAAGGTTGCAGATACGCCTTGCTGACTGGTGAGTGCCAACTAGCACAAAGCCTAGGTCCAAGGTTTCATGTGCCCGATTGCCTCCAACCATATAATACCAACAATTCATAATGCACCATAATGGCGAGCCACCTAGAATGCTGGCCAAATTTCAAGCTCGACTGATAGAATTCAGTCCGCAGCCAAGATAGGATTAGACATATTACACTAGTTACTGACTAGTGTGCAATCAAAAAAGGCTTTATTTTGATAGTGTTCAATATGTATACAAGCTTCTAATTGTTTCATTTATTATGTCATGGAAACACAAAGTCTGTCTATAAGTTAGAATTAAGATGTTTAGGCATGGTAATGTTTTCTGAGATGAAATTGTTATTATTATTTAGCCACATGAATTTTTTCAGCTACACCTTAGAATTTCTTGTTACACCTTGATATATCTCCCCTACGAAATTCAGCTTCATTTCTTCTCTGTCCAACGTGAATGTTTCAATGAAGAGTAAAAGCAACTGTTTAACCAACCAGTCGTCGGCACAGTCAGCCTGTGTGTGACCGCAATTCTTAGGTTATGTGTAGAATGTGACTATAAACTGAGGCTAGTTAAGGCTTTAAAATTCATTTTTCTCTCTCTTAAATTTCGTATTCTCAACTGATTTTTTGTTTTATTGAGTAGGTTTGCGCACGTGTGTATTTTTTGTGTGTGTATGTGTGCCTTTCCGACAATATTTGCTATCTAAAAGTATTTTTTACTGAATACTTTCTAGTAAATGTTGTTAAATGTTTTCCTTCTCTCTCTCAGATACCGCCTATATGTATATACTTGCTATGTTAATTATGCTGAAAATTTATCAAACAAGGCATCCAGATGTGAATGCGTCAGCTCATTCAGCCTATATGGTTATGGCTGTTGTTATTTTTCTTGGTGTTCTGGGTGTTGTAAGTTATTGTGCTCTTTTTTAATATTTTTTCTAAACTTTTTATTTTTCTCAACACATATCACAATTTTATTGAATTAGACTGTTTATGAGTAGTTCTGGGAATAAAATGTTGCATTACCAAGGCTCTGGCATATACGGCTAAGAATGAAACCCTATGTTGTATTAGTTGAAAGTCGTTCGGATAGTTCAATGAGCTACACACATACACAAACACACACAACTTATCTCTCCGGTTGCGTGGGCGTTAAAGCTACCAGCCTCGTACTTCATTGAGCCTATATCAGATATCGATTGAGTTAAATCTATGTTGTTTGTCAAAATGCTGGATATCGGTACGAAGTAAATGACGGTTATTTTATTTTTAATTTTCACATGTTTACAGGTATCTTGTTTTGTTGTTCGGGGAGTTTTTTTGTTTATCTGAGCTGACTTGTGCGAAAACAAACAGTATAGCTCGTGACGAAAATTCACGCTCGTCTAACACAAGTCATCATTTCGTTACTTTGTGTGTTATTTGTTGTTTATACTAGTGTATTTTGTTGAATTTCATAAATAATGAATGCAGCAGCATCAGTCTCGATTTTTGATATCCTTTAATCTATTTTTTTTATCAGAATATGCATAATAAACGCGTGTATAAAAAGTTGAAGTTTATCGTCTGAGTAATGAAGGTTTTTGTATTTCCCAATGAATGATGAAAAACAAAACGATATGGTTGTTTTTACTGACATTTCGCTATTTAATGCTGCTGCTAATAGCTGCTTTATCAAAGTATTATTAAACTGGAATTTACAAAATCTCAGCATATATATAACAAAGAGTTAAGAGGTGAAAAAATAGACTAAGGTCAAGTTAAAAAGACGTATGGAAAGTCAAAATAGCAATGAAGATCACTAAACCAAATAAGGAAAGTAATAGTGCATCTGTTCTGATATCAAAACAAAGTTTACTAACTTGATCATCATTCGTTAGTCTGGGGTCGTTTTTCGTTTTCAAGTTGGTCAATTGGCAAAGATAACAAAACCAAGTGTAGATTGTTGGATTTGATAAGTGTGTAAAATTATAAAAGCAGTGTGTGTTTACATAGTGAACTTGCTTATCACATTCGTGTTGGTTTTGTCACTTAATGGGGGAGGGGGATATTGTAACCAGGTCAGATTCTGTCTTAGTCCATCATTCCTATTCAGACAATTTGGATTCCACTTGATATGAAGTGCTTCTGATATTAGACGTTCTTTGTGATTTCTGAAGTTTTTCTGGATTATTTCAATATTGTCAGAATCAATTTTGTGGCCTGATTCTATAGCGTGTAGACGAGCTATGGCTGATGATTTTTCAAGTTTTTCTAGTTCAACTGGATTTCTCGATGGTCAAAGAGATGCTCTACGGTGTTCATTTATTCTGATTTTGATTTCTTGAGATGTATATCGCATCATATTCCAAGCAAGTATTTTATAGACACAATTAGATAGAGAATCTTTAGGGATTTGGTCTTTTATATGGACAAGGTTGCTTTGAAGTGTGTCTGATATTTTGAAGGAAACTCTAATGTTGAGCTGACTGAGTACTCTTCTGATATCGTCTGACGTCTCTGCTCTATATGGAATGATGACTGTTTATGTCCATGTTTTCGGAATGCGTATTCGGCCATACTTAATGTCTGTGTTGATTTTGTTGATGAAGTTCCTTGGGTAGTTGTTTTGCTTGAGGAGAGTTTCAGTTATGTCTGATATTTCTTATTTTTCTTTCTCATCCGTTATCAGAGAGTGTGCTCGTCTAAGAAGACTTGAAACAACTGAAATCTTGCGATGATGGAGTGTTATGATTTGAAGTCTAAATATCTATTGGACTGTGTTTTCTTCCTGAATATGGATATACTAAAGTGTCCGTTTTCCTTTCTCTTAACTAGGCAGTCTAGAAATGGTAGTTCACCGACGTCTGATTTTGCTTCCGAAGTGAAGTGTAGATTGTTGGATTTGATGAGTGTGTTAAAAATTATAAAAGCAGTGTGTGTTTACGTAGTGAACTTGCTTATTACATTCCTGTTGATTTTGTCAATTCATGAGGGAGGGAGGTGTTGTAATCGTCTGTTATAGTCTGAGATTGTAAACGGGAAACAATTTTAAAGGGTGTACACATTTAGACTGAGAAATGGTGTCTCCTGGAGTTTAAATCACTACCTTATAGCTACCTAATGGATTAATTTTCGATCCTTTAATTAATACATATTCAAATACTACTGAAGATAGGTTATCATCCATTATAATAAAGGTTTTTTTGTATTTCCCAATGAATAAAAAACAAAACGATATTGTTGTTTTTACTGACGTTTCGCTATTTAATGCTAATAGCTTTATCAAAGTATTATTAAACCGCAATTTACAAAATCTCAGCATATATATAACAAAGAGTTAGGGGGTGAGAAAAAAATATAGACTTAGTTCAACTTAAAAGAACATAATGAAAGTCAAAATAACAATGAAGGTCGTTCAAACCAAATATCAAAGGTAATAGTATATCTGTTTTGATATAATAAGCAGTGAAACAGTGACAAGAAAACTACCCCTTCCATTGCTGTTCATTTTGATGGGATAACTAACTAAAGGATATATGAATTAAAAGTCAATCTGAACGAAGAATATTCTTTTCAATAAAAACTCTTCAGGTTCTTTCAATGACAAAATATAATATTTGTTGTCGTTCCAATAAAGGCCAGTTATGCGGTGGATACATTTTTAACGTACGGCACACGATTAGGCAGGTTCATCTACGGGTTCGAGAACATTCACCAGCTTGATTCAGCACGGGGGGATTTAGTGCATAAAAAGCTCAATCCTGTCACACTTGGTCTATACCGGACATTGTATCGATGTCAACACAGCTTTCAGGGTTATATACCGAATTCCGAAGTCGTTATCACGTACAGTTCGATTACGTCTCCTACACATAGCTGAAGCTGTTGCAATAAGATCGACTAAACCGGAACTTTGTAACCAAAAGGAACGCGTCCAGGCGCTGTTCCTACCGTGGCCAAACATGGATTGATGGTTCTTCTTCTCACCAAGAGTGCTCCTTCCCCTTAACCCTTTTGGTTGTTTTCCTTTGCTTATAATTACAAATACTATTATTATAATTATTACGATTATTATTATTATTACTATTACTACAACTGCCTTCGCCGTCAGCTCCTTGTCACCCACCAGTTTAGCGACAGCCTCGAAGTCACGTAAGAAGCTCCGTATGTCTCCTCCTTCAAACGCAGTAGGCCACGGGATATTCATTTTTCTGGAGGCAGCGACACCAAATGTAACAACAGAAGACAAGGGCCAGGCAGCAGATCGTTTTATTACGAAAATCAACGCGTATTTATATATATTTTATGTACATTAATAAGGCTTATGCAAGCAGAAAAAGGCAGTATTCTAATTGGTTATTTCTCGGAAGTTAAGCAGACAAACACAGTCTTCTGATTGGTTGTTTTCGATATTTCTCGGAAAGTAGAGCCATTTATCTGCGAATCATATTTGCCCACGTTTAAGTCTGCTTTGATTGGTTGTTGAATCAGCCTAGATTAATGTCTACCAATCAGCGTCGATTAATGTCTACCAACTGGCTAGCAGCCTGCTCTCACCACAATGGCACACTAAGAAGGAGTGTGTATAGGAAACCTACAACAACAGGTCAGTACACTCATTTTTTGAGTTTTGTACCTTTGAAATATAAACGTAACCTGGTAAAGTGTCCGGTTCATAGAGCCACGTTAATCTGTTCAGACGACTGTCTCAATGAGGAGTTCAAGATTATTAGAGAATTATTTAGAAAAAATGGTTATCCAGATAAATCCACTGAGAAAAATATGAATTCAGCACCTAGGAAAGTCAGTATGGCAACAGTTCCGAAAAAACCAATATTCATAAAACTCCAGTCCCTCAGTGACAACATCAGCGAAATAATAACACAACGCCTCAAGAATCCAGTTAAAAGAGCTTATTATGCAGCAGACGTACGTTGTCTCTTCACAACCACCCCTATTCTACGTTCGAGAAATAAGGATAAACTACCTAAATTCGCCTCCTCTATGTGTATCTACCAGTTTGACTGCAGCTGCCGAGCCAGCTACATTGGCCGTACAATTAGGCAGGTTCATCATCGTATTTCCAAACATCGTCCAACAAACAAGATCTATTCTTAGCTTGTAGAACACCTTTTAGATGGGGAGCATAAGATTGGTGTGAATACTGCATTTAAAATTATCTATCCCATTCCTACTAATCTTAACTTCGCTCTACGACTTCTTCTTCTACAGACAGCTGAAGCAATAGGAATCCACTTGAAGAAGCCAAACCTGTGTGTTCACAAGAAATTTGTACAGCCACTTTCCTTACCTTGACCATCGTCGTTACATGAATGTATAAACCAGACTAGTTCGCCCCTCTCCCCCTAATCCTCTAAAATTATAAAAATTATAATTTTCCTAGTTATTTTATTCATTTCTGACCACTTCATCTTTAATTACGTGTTATCCTTGTAAAATTAAATTAATTTATTCTAACCATTTCTGCCTTTTAACTGTGTGTATTGATTTTCTTCTTCGTTAATTATCAACCCATTGACATTTTGACGCTGACTAATTATTGTTAACAACCATATCAGTGCCACTTGATTGGTAAAGTGCTGTGTATTGTAATAAAAATGCTATACGTGTATATTAGAGTAGAGCCAGAGCGAGATGAGGATCTAATTGAAAAGTAAATATATTTTCGTAGCTCTGCCATTAATAAGACGAATGAGAATGCTAGATTGAAACTGCTTGAATCTTGTACCTCCGACTTCCAAATAAACTAATTCCCATTGAATCCTGATTATTATTTGACTGATCTGTCATCGGTTGGAATTTTATTACATGTATCGATGTCAACACAGCTTTCAGGGTTATATACCGAATTCCGAAGTCGTTATCACGTACAGTTCGATTACGTCTCCTACACATAGCTGAAGCTGTTGCAATAAGATCGACTAAACCGGAACTTTGTAACCAAAAGGAACGCGTCCAGGCGCTGTTCCTACCGTGGCCAAACATGGATTGATGGTTCTTCTTCTCACCAAGAGTGCTCCTTCCCCTTAACCCTTTTGGTTTTTTTCCTTTGCTTATAATTACAAATACTATTATTATAATTATTACGATTATTATTATTATTATTCGTCATAATTTATGCCCTTCATACAAACATTCCCTTAATACTATCGAATTCTTCATTTATACTATCAGGACTTATTATTAGTGACATTATCTCTTTTCTCAATATATGCCTCCACCTGTTTCATTTCACATATTCGTTATTTCATCATGAACCTCTCATTGCAGTCTCACTATCTCCTGTTTAACACAGACCACTTTGTACTAGCCACTCACTCACCTGACACCTTTTATAACTTTGATCTGATTTGTCAGTTTTCCTACCCCACACTCTACAAGTCTATTACGGCTAAACACCACCATTGTCTCCCGTTTTACAATATTCTGTAATCGATTTCAGCCTATCACGTTTGTCACACAAATACGACTATTTATTCTGACACCCCATAACTACTAATTTGTTATTCTACGTTAGAAATGTATCCACCGCATAACTGGCCTTTATTGTAACGACAACAAATATTATATTTTGTAATTGAAAGAACCTGAAGTAGAGAAATTATTGAAAAGAATATTCTTCATTCAGATTAACTTTTAATTCGTAATATGGAAATACTTCACACTATCAAATCTTAAAGCATATATTTTTCGACAACAAAAATGGTGATTGCAACTAGCAAAACCTATGTCATTACCCCGTGTTACTCAGATCTATGTAACTAAATAGTTAGATCTCTTTTACCTTGCTAAGCCAGTAATAAAGCTGGTAAAGAGAAAAGGTTGGGCATGAGGCTAGGAACCCCATCCTGTAAAAATAGACACTGCTATAGAAACTTCAAGGCTCTAGCTTGAAGCCCTATGTTTCACTGGGAACGTGAACGAAAGAAAAAAAATAGTTGGAGACTTGAAATAGTGAATCTAAAAATAACACCAATGAATTGAAGCTCTATCAACGGAAAATGTCTCAATGCTTATTAAAGTTTTGTATTCTTATTCACACTATGCAAACTAATTCGCGACTTGCCTAGTTCAAAGGGGAACTTCATTACAGTTTCCCTTTGCAACACAAAAATTATTCAGATCGCATTATGTGATCTGCTTGATATCACAAAGAGGAACCAAAGAAAGCAATAATAAGTTCCTCCTCTGGTATCGGCAGATTGGGTCTTGTACACGTAATCAAATGACTTTTTTGCGTTTAGTATAAAATTAGTTTATATTTTTACCTGAAGCCAAAATATGTACAAGTTTTATGTCGTTAAGATCATGACGCCTGTCTCTCTGGATTCAACATAGAACTTGGCACCGAAGTGCAGCAGTTCGAGTTGCCGAGTTCCAAATAGCACACAAAGGTAGACAAGAAGATGATTGAAGAGAATCAATAGAGTTTGATAGGTATAAGAGCGAAACAGAATGGGTAATGGTAGAAAGAAATATGAAAGATTACAGAGACTGAATACATCTGCGCCATTGACAACATGACGTATCATCTGCAAGGTTGTATCATGTGGGTGTCTGTGTGTCCTGTAGGTAGGTGGCGGTTAGAAAAAAAGATGCAAATCATCTCACTGACAATGCAGATTAATTTCCTTTAGTTAATGCATGAATTCAACTTTGTATCAACAATACAGAGAGGTTATAACATGTTTCGGCTATTTGGCTTCTGAGTGTGAAGAAAATCTGTTTGCTTCAAGCTAGTTATCATCATAAATCGATATCAACTTACAAAGCTTTCAGTATGCGTTTCGTCCCAGATTGAGATTCTTCAGCACTATGGACTCACTTCACTTAGATTCAAGCTCATGACAGTGTGGTCATGTAGTAGATTCATTGATCCTTGGCTTGAAATTCAATAGCTTATTTGTGATATGATGCACTCATTATCACTGTATTCGCTGAATTCCTTGAATACCATTTTTGGTCGTCTTAGTTAAGCGAACAACCACAGGGGAATTAGAAACTCAAGTTTATAGAAAATCAACTCACACAGACCAAATCCTGAATTACAACAGCAACAATCCAATAACACACAAAAAGAATTGCATATAAACACCATTCAAGAGGACAAGGACTCATTGCAGCACTCCCACCTTAAGGAAAATTGAAGAAAGATATCTCATGGATGTCTTCCAAAAGAATGGATATCCACGGAATTTCATCAAAAGATATATACCTCCAAGTCAACCTATCAAAACAAAAGCTATCAAGAAAAGCACAAAGAAAATAGCCTTACCATATATAAAGGATATCTCAGAAATCACTACATGACTCTTCAAACCTTTAGGAATTGATGTCGTACACAAACCAACAAAGTCACTTCACGCAGTTCCATGTTGACCAAAAGACTCAACAGCGAAAGAAGATAAAACCGACATCATCTACAAAATAAATTGCAACAAGTGCGAAAAACACTACATTGGCCAAAGTGGACGTCCCCTTCGTCTTCGTATCCACGAACATAAGCTGGCCGTCAAAAGACATGAAAGCCACTCCCTCATTTCACCACACACAGACAACCAAGGACATCAATTCGACTGGGACAACCAGCGTTCAAATATTAGACAGAGGAAACAACAAGAATGCTAGCCAGAGAATTTTTAGAAGCTTGGCATTCCAGTGAATCATCAATCAATAGACACATCGAGATAGACAAAATTTATCAACCGATAAGAAAGAAACCTCACACACAAAGGGTCAAAGTTCAAGTCAAAGTCAAGAAACAATCAGTTCCAACACAAGTAACCTAGAAGGTATGAAAACACACAAAAACAATTGATCACGTCCAATGTCACCAGGAGAGATGATTAATAAACTCGTGGAGAAATCTAAAAGCTCACTTCATCAAGTTGAAGTATGCGCTGAAGATGTCGCCTAGTAGGGTGATGAAAGCTTCGCAAAGCAATCATCCAGCCCAGAGAACACAACCACATCAAAAAGTTGTATTCTTTCAGCTGGACGGTTTATTTATAAAGCTTTCGGTGTCATTCTAGACAACATCTTCAGAGAAAACTTCAGTATGATGTTGTCTAGAGGGACAATGACTGCTTTTCAAATAAACCATCCAGCTCAGAAAACACAACAACACCAGTGTCATCCACCTGAGCTACAAATCTTCTCTATCATATTTGAATACCATCCACCCGTCCATTAATTGACTTTGAAATCCACCAGTTAACAAGCACAACCTAACCATCAAATTTCACATCTGAATAAATTTCAGTCAACTCTGAATGCTACAAACTTATACTAGTCTAATGCTGATAATTCCTTGTTTCACAAATATTGATTAAGACAATTTCACCATCTCTCTCTCTCTTTCTATCTCTGCTTTAATCTTTATCGATGTCTGTAAATGCGGTGGAATTGTGCTTCGGCCAAAGTTTGCCTCATATATTGTCGCAATAAAATTCTATTGATGTACTAAAGTGTATACAATAACTATTTTTTTTACACATTGTTTTGTGGGTTTTTCTTCTAAACTCATTGCTTTGTCTTTTTTTGTTTGTTTTTTTATTTCTTTTATTACCTGTTTAGTTGTATGGTAATCAAATATTTTGGATTATTTTCACTATCTTCTTTTTGATAATGAGTGTTGTACTAACAGTTGAGATTTATTATATGGGCCAATGGAATATTGGTAAGTAGTAGCAGTAGATTCATTTTTATTGATTGTATGCACGTATTTATTCTCTTGTAAACCATATTTATTCGACATTATCATGGACTGACTTTAATTCGAGAACCATTAGAAATCAGGGAGTACTGGACAGCTGTTTCGTCCTTGTTTGGGACTCTTCATCGGTAGGCATCCCGTGAGCGCAACAGGCTGTGAAATTACATCGACTGAGATGGTAAGAACATGTGTTACGTATGCCTAGCCATCGATCGCCTTCCTCGACGGATGGGCAATGTTAGCTGACATACGGTCAGGCTGGAGAAGAGCTGGCGGCGGTCAAACCAAAACATGGCATTAATCAGTGAAATCCACAACTGTTAGTTTAAACCAGGCACGTAGGAAGGTGTAGACTTCCTAACTGGCTGGGGTCCTTGGGACGGTAGAAACCAATGTTTGGAAACAATTGGTGATATGACTCAAAATCGTTCTCAATGACTGGAGCAGATGCATCCACTCCTTGTGACTTATGATTTCCAACGAAACTATATTGTTCTTCGTTATGACTATTCCCTTGTCTCACACCTCTGTTTACTGTCTGTATTATGCATTTCTTCTGCTTTCTTCTCTTTGTTTGTGAGCTACATGGAGTGTGGCGACTTGAATTGCTGCACATCGGTGCAAAGTTGTATGTCGAAAACAAACAGGCAGACATCAACAAGGGTCGAACCCGGGATCTTCCTTTTGCAACATGAGCTCGTAGACCATTCAGTCACTGAGATGAAATCCAGTGCCACAGGAATTCTAACTTCTGCCAATTCGCGATATGGTACAACGACTAGCCAACGTCATCGGTGATTATTCGTCCTTACACCCAACTTAGTGGACCCCCGCTATTCATGACTTCCCATTAGAACTTTAGGCAACTGCATATTGATTTCGCATAAATACCTTTCTGTAGTATTTTTTTTTCACAGCACTTTGTACGTCCTCATGTCCTGTGGACAAGTATTCGTGCAGTTCTCATAAATAATTGTTAACATTCCTTGCATTAATTAATGCAGTAATTAGTAGTCTCATTCAATTTGTATAACCTGACTGACAACTGAGTTTCAGGATAGAAGTTTGCCCAGATATGCAGCAGTTCAACTTGTCCTACTCCATGTAGCACATAATGGTAAACAAAAGAGATTAAAAATATTTATGATGATCAGGAGAAAGAACAATAACATAGAGAAACCTGAGGATTTAATGAATCGAAGAAATTACGAAGAGGAAAAGTAAGAGGAAGATTTTAAAAACAAGTGAGAGGGAATGCAAAATGGAGACAGTAAACAGATCATATGAGGCAACAAGAATAGTAATATCGAAGAAGCATATAGTTTTATTGGGTATTATAAGTCATATTGAGAACGATTTTGAGCCATATCACCGATTGACCCCAGCCATTGGTGCTTAACGTCCCCTGGACCTCAACCAGGAAGTCTACACCTTCCTACTAACTTTTGTGGATTTGATTGACTGATGAAGCCATGTTTTGGTTTGAGCACCACTGGCTCGTTTCCAACCCCATCGACCCTATGTCAGCTAACATTACCTGTCGAGGAAGGTGATGACTAGGAATGCATGACACACGTCTTAACCATCTCAATCGAAGAAACCTCACAGTCTTGTCTATTAAATTCTCCCCCCCACCTGCCTACCACTCGACCTAACGTCAATATTGCTCACTTTGTTATAGTACTTCACACTCGAGATAGAACGTAGGCATCTGTGATCAAAGACATATAGCCTTTTCATGTCTTCCATTTTCATTGGCCAGGTTTTACAGCCATAGAGGAGCACGGAGCGGACTTTTGAGCAGTACACACGTCCTTTGGTTGATAACCGGATATCACGTCTACGCCAGAGATGGCGTAAACTGGCATATACGCAACTAGCCTTCTGTATCCGTTCTGAGATTTCCTCAGCGATCAACCTGTTTAGGCTGATGCCAGTTAGCGTCTAATATTCAATGGTGATAGGGATTCGCACTGAAATATATATACATGAAAACCATAGTGTCTTATTTTATTGATTATTTCCTTTCATATTTAGTCAGCTGATCAAAAGTTGTTTTTTAATCAAACTTTTCTCCACCTGTATATGTATATGTGTGCGTTTTATTTTAATTTCATTTTTTTGTAAAGATCTTTGCCTACCAAGACGTATCTATCACCTAATTCGTACAGATGGAATAAGTTGCTTCCGTCCAACATACCTAGAGCGTATGCTTCTTTTACTTATTGCCAACTTAGTTAATTTTACCTTGTAAGTTTACAGAATTGTTTTGTGTTTTTTTGTGAGCTTTATTTTCATTTCACAATGTAGTGAATATATAATTACCATAGTAAATCGTTTAATTTCAAAAGGTTAATATTTGATCGCAAGCATTCGAGATCACCATCGATTGTTATTACTTCTATATGATAACTTTCTGTAGGTTCTTATATTTGTTATGATCGGAATTGCGATCTAGTAGACTATGAGCGAATACTAACTTTATGCGCTGTCTAATCGCACGTCAACAACAACGATAACACCGCCAGCATGCAGAGACATAAAAAAGAAATTGGCATCAATAAAAGAGCTTTTACTGTCTCAAACAACAGTCAAAATGCTAAACAGAAACTGTGTACATATATACAGCTAGAATGACCTTGAAAATATGGGAATTCAGTGATGCACTAAAGGAATAACAGCCACCTCTTGAAATGCTCCCATATGACCGGGCGTCTTACATAGCCTCTCCTGAGGAAGTCCTACTCACTGCCTTCGCGTGGCGGAGGTGTTTTTCACCGAAGTGAGAGGGCAAAAGCGGATGCCCGGCGCTCTTCACCGGGTTGACTGTCCATTGGATGACAGTCTAGGGAAGATGATATGATTATGAGCAATAAATTGTGCTTGAAACGTCATCAGTAAACATTACTGTATAACGCTGTGAGACTTTATCAAAACAAAATTTACCCATAATGGAAGATGGCTAAACCCTGATTCCAAACCTCCAACGACTGGCGTATGAAACTCACCGGAGCTCACCGGCAGACGTATGGACAAAGGGCTTGTTGGATGCCCTGGATGTCTGGTCCCATTCAAAAAGGTGTATGAACCGGACTCCGGTCACCGGCTGCCAATGGATAGTGGACTCCCTACTCCACTCCTACTGCCTTGTAGGTCACACTTGGTTGTGTAAAGGCTAGAGCTGCACTCTCAAACAAAAGGCCGAGCGATTCTGGGGACATCACTCATACCTTATTCCCATGAAACTTCATTAACTCTCTACAACATCAACCAAATTCCAGTACTGGTCCAACAACGTCGCCTTCGGTGGTTTGGCCATGTTCTGCGCCTACCAGATGACGATCTGGTCAAATCAGTTCTAAATCCCTCGCCATTTCCATCTTGGCGATGTCGCAGGGGTGGACAGCTGAAAACATGGCTTGGTACAGCCAAGGCTGATATGGACTGCCTGGGCTGGGGCTACAAACCGTCTACGGACTCCATCTGTGGGACAAGAATTGGATGACCCTGTCGCAAAACCTTGCATCAGCTCACCGCGCCTGGGCAGCGATGATTCGAGATGTTCATGAAGTCGGCTCATCCTCCCGTAGGAGATAGCCGAAGTAAAGTAAGTAATAACAGCCAATAGGAACCCAGCAATCCAAACAGGGGAACACAAAGGGCTCATGGCATTACGTGAGTAGTTATTTTAAGGTTTTAGGCAAAACTAGGTGTATATAACAATATTTTCAATTGAATATCGGCGAAATTCACCACTAGCGTCCCAGGAGTGCGAACACTCAAATGACCTTGAACGCATGCTGGTCGTTGGCTGAAGAAACTTACGATTATTCTATCGTGAAAGTGAACAGTGTTCATCTGTTCAGGTGCAAATTTCACCCAGATCACGTATTTCAATACTGCCTGGATAATGGATTGATAGAACGTTCTCGTATATGTAGCTGTGGCGCTTCAATGAACCTGTAACCGTATTCACAGGTCATTGATGGATATATATTTAGATGTACGAAGTGTAGGAAGCGAACAAGTGTTCGTACTGGTAAGTGACACTCTCAGTTAATTGTCTTCTAGGAACTTTCTTTGCTAAATCGAAACTCTCTTTGACGAATATACTGTTTCTTTGCCATTACCGGATTTTGAAGTCCGGTTGTGAAGTCAACTGCGGCTCAGACAGAAAATACCTTGACGTCTACTGTGCTGTGTTGGGAGGAGTCGGTGTTATCGTTCATATCGACGGAACTGTGCTTATAAAGAAGAAATACAATCGCGGACATACTAGAGCTAATAACGTTTGGGTATTAGGAATTTTGTGACACCCAAATTCGGAAAGAATCTTTTGAACTTATTCCAGACAGGAGTACCAACACTCTTCTGCCTATTATTCAGAGACTCGTTTTACCTGGGGCACTACTATACACACGAGTGAATGGGCAGGATATAACCAATTATCGGATTTAGGATATATACACCATCGAGTCAACCATTCTGATGATTTCATCGATCCCAGAACCGATACTCATACTAATTCAATAGAGGGTTTCTGGGGAAGATTAAAAAATAGAATAAGAGAGCAAGAAATGGCTCTCAAAACCAAGATATTTTCAGTCACCTGGATGAATAAATGTATAGAAATTAGTTTAATTTAAAAACCGACACTCCCCATTATAATTGGGACATATATTTATCTCATATTAGAGAAAAATACCCTGTTTAATGTTTTTTTATGCTTTTTATGTAAATATACGTAAATTTTGTGCAAAAATCCCTCATTTTTCTGATTAATCGGCTCAAGGCCACTAGTGCGTTCGCATCCCTTGAGACGCTATTGTAGAACATTACCTGAAAATATCGAGTAGTGTGTCTTCACTAACATAACATACTTCCTCAGCACTTTTTTCACAGTTAGACACTGTTGGAGGTGATGAATGACATCATCAGATTAAGAAATATAACAACTGCTTAAGAATGTGTTTGTGATTTTGAAACTTTCGAATTGCTGGAATATGTGTGGTTTATCTTTACTGACACTTGAAACCCATTGAGTCCGCTCAGTTTCGACGTTCTTGAATAATTTTCTGTAGCCTTTGAATGACTATCCACTGTCCAGTCTAGCTACTTTAATAGCGATGCTAATTCTTTGAATTGAAATTAAGATTAGTTTTGATTGTCTGGATCATGCAATAAACTGTGAGGAGTTAGAAGATAGGCTGACGAAAAACCTCGAGAATATCTTGATTTAGCTGTCTCATAAACTAGAGTTTCTACAGGCGAAAATTAACAAGTTTTTTTAAAGAGACAGTGCCGATGGAACTTCAAGTGAACATGGAGAAGACAGACAGAAGTGATGAAGATACTTAGTCAACTACAACAATGAACACCAATTGCTAATGATGGAAGAATTCTAAGGATAGTTGTCTATTTCCCCTACCTGAGCAGCATTTTTTCAAGTATAGGCCTCACAGATATGGATGTCGAAGCTAGTCATGACCAAGAAAGCATGTGACAGACTTTCATTACTCTGAAATCTGTGTCGAGATCTAAAAAACTACACACATCAGGCCATACTGAGTTTTCAATGCTAAAGTTAAGTCAGCGAGTCCTTCTGTGTGCTTCACAGACTTGGCAAGCGTGTCACGAAAAGCATTTCCAACATGCAAGTTCAAACTTTCATGAACAACTCCCTTTGCTAGATACTGAAGATCAAGTACCTGACAGGAGAGGATAAGCAAGAAGAAACTAGGAACAAGTCAGCCAAGGGCTCATTGAGTATTAAATATACCGAAGGAAATGGAGTCATACACAATGAAGACCGTTGAGTGACAAAGCATTCCAGGGCTGTCGCGTGTAGGCCACATTGGAGGCGTGGGTTCAATAGTGCCATGGGAGAGATCCTGTGATTAGGAATCAAAAGTTGACAAGTTACTATGAAGCCAGCCAAAAATCTGCGGAGAACAGAAAGATGTGCTGTTGAATTTTTATGTTCCACTAGGAACTCATGTGAATAATAACAACATTCCTTTTCATTCTTATAAACTCTAATGATCAGCTAACTGTAGCCCTCTTCCAATACGGTACACTAACTAGTATCTCAGTGTGTTCACTGGTTTCTCACCAAAATTCTCCAAGACATCTAGTGTCGTAACATCTCATCTTATCTCTGACACTTCCTGTCAGAGTTTGGAGAATCAATATACTTGTGCTGTCCAAACTAAGATTTGACAGTGAGCTACCACAGTGTGTATATGATCTGGACTGTGCCTCGAAGTGTTCTGCACTGAAATTCCGGCTGTCTGTTTTCAGAAAAGACTTAACCGGCATACTTTTTGATAATCACTTTATCAACAGTAGTCGTTATACAGCCTGTCTGTTAGCTATGCTTAACCTGTTGGTGGTGAATATTACTTGGCGCTGATGAGTCTTTTTCTTCGCTTTCTCCAGCCAAAGGTTTTATTGGTCGTTACATTGATTTCTAATCAATTAGCTTTTGCGGAACTTCCACTGCTTATCGTATTTACAGATATTTATTTAAAGCTTTTGTTATAAACCCAGAAAGCAGTGTGCATCATCTTTTTTTCTGTATTTCTTCCGTATTTATTCTTGATTTCGATTGTGTTAAGGACCGCCATTTTAACTGAGAACTAGTAATATTTGTAGGATACTAGTGACGTAGTCTATACATTGATAAAGTTGGCGGTTATTGATTGGATCAATTGCCGATATGGCAGGTCAGTACTTCAGTAAATGATAGAGGCCTGCTTTCAGTATTATTTATTATTATTATTTCCTTTAATTCCAAGAGGAACATAGGGCTTCAGCCGAACGTCTCCTCCAAGTCACCCTCGCACTGAAGACCAACTTACGGCTTCCATTTCGGTTTCCACTCAATGGCTTGTCTAGTGATATCATTTAATGGGTTCCTCAGAGTATAGCCAATCCACCTCCATTTCTTCCTACCTATTTGTTTCACAATCGGTTTCTGGTTGGTCAGCTCATCGCCAGAGATCCCTGTTGCTGATTTTTTTCTGACTGGCCATCTGATCTTGAGTATTGAGCGAAGACATTTGTTGATGAAGGTCTCTTGTTTGTTTGAAGTGCTCTTTATGACGCGCCAAGTGTCTCATGTGTAAAGTAGCACTGACTTCACATTGGAGTTGAAAATCCGGATGTTACTTTTGATGCTGAGTGCTTTCAGTATATTATACCAATATAGATAGTCATAGCTTTGTGTATTACTGAGAAGTACATGACAAGATGATGCTTCTGTTCTATTCAACCTTCTGTCTGTCTGGTCTGGATTCAACATAGAACTTGGCACCCAAGTGCACCAGTTCGAGTTGCCACCTTCCAAATAGCACACAGAGGTAGACAAGAAGATGAGTGAAGAGAATCAATACAGTCTGACAAGTATAAGAGTGAAACAGAATGGGTAATGGTAGAAAGGAATATGAAAGATTACAGAGACTGAATACATCTGCGCTGGCCATTGACAACGATTTTGAGCCATGTCACCTATTGTCTCCAGCCATTGATTCCTAGAGTCCCGAGGGCCCCAACCCGGAAGTCTGCATCTCCCTACCTGACTCAGTTTAACTGTCAAGGATTTCATGGATTGATGACATGTTTTTGTTTGGCCACCACTGGCTCTTTTCCAACCTGCACCTATATCAGCTAGCTATAATGCCCGTCGGGGGAGGCGGTGGTTAGGCATGCGCAGCACGTGACCTAGCCATCTCAGTCTATGTAACTTTATAGCCTCGTCGATTGATTTTCCCTCTTTGCCCAACACTCTACGCCTAACGTCAACATTACTTACCTTATTAAACCACCTAACGTGAGACAGAGATCGCAGACATCTATGATCGAAAGCAGTCAACCTTTTCATGTCTTCAACGCGTATTGGCCATGTTTCAGAGCCATAGAGAAGGACGGAGCGAACTGATGAGCAGTACACACGTCCCTTGGTTGATAACCGGATGTCACGCCTACGCCAGAGATGGTGTAAGTCAGCGAAAGCAGCTCGAGCTTTTCGGATCCGTGCTGAGATTTCATCGCCAATCAGTCCGTTGGTGCTAATACAACTTCCCAAGTAGGTGAAGTGGTCAACATGTTCTATCACTTCACTAAGTTAGGGGTTGACGGGGTCCAGTCCTGTAGCAGCATCTTACATTTTGTAGGGGCGAATCGCATGCCAAACATACGAAGATTGCTGCTCAAGGTGTTCAGAAGACTCTGCATTTTGTCAGCATCCTCCCCTAACAGGACTATGTCATCTGCATATTCTAAGTCCATAAGACTATTCCCTGGTAACAAGTCGATTCCTAAGTCATTACGTTCAGTTAAGGATACTTCCATCAGCATATCTATGATGAAGTTAAACAGAAATGGGGAAAGTGGACATCCCTGTCGGACACCACTGGTTGTTACCAATTCAGATGACAATTCCCCATAAGCCCTTACACGACTACGTGAGTTTGAATAGAGTGCCTTGATTAGTGCAATGTACTTTCTTGGCACTCCCTTCACAGTCAGACATTGCCATAGTACCTTTCGATCCACGGAGTCGAAGGCCGCCTTCAAGTCAAGAAATATGACAATTGTTGGACGCCGAAAATAGTTTTTATATAGTTTATTGCTAATGTTTACACTTCCTTTACAATTTATATTTATCTTAATTCTGTTCGTTTTTTCAAATCACTTTGTTTTGTTTTTCCCTATCGCTTCATTTTCTTTTTTAGAGCCGGTTATGGTATAGTTAGACGGCCAAGGGATTTTTCTACCTTTTTACTATCGATTTTTATGATCAATTTATTGATGTACACATTCTTCTATGTGATTATGAAAGTAAGTTTATTTCCTTTCTTTTTTAATCATCGTTTAATTAATTATTCGTTTGAAAAGTTTCAGTATATATCCAACTATTTTTTTACAGACAGACAAATTTAAAAATTAGTTCAAAAGTCAATCTGAAGTAGGGATTCTATTTTTCTTTTTTTTGAGCATTTATTTCATTATAATCAGAGTATTCTCATCCGTTTGACCCCTCTGTTATTTCTCATATTGCAAAAAATACTTATTCCGTTGAGTGTGCATCAAGGGTTTATTGATAGGATGCTAGTCAACTACATGGGTCTGATGCCCTCCTGAAACCTCGCCTAGTTTACCAGCAGTAGAGTAGTCCTAGAAAAGAACAAAGGTTGGACGTGATCCTAGAAGAAACGCCATACTGTAAAAAAACAACACCACCACACAGCTTGAAGCCTCCACCGCCTATTTCACTTGAAGGGAAAGAAATTTTCATTAAAAGAAGTCAGTTGTGTAATAATAGGTGCTGGCAGTTTAGCCACATTCGATTGTAAACCAATCGGTTAAAGCTTCGAACTTTACTCTGCCTATCTCATCTGTAGAAAATAAGACACTGTAATCAACTGTAAATACACTGGGTGTTTAAATCAATATGGAACACATGAGACTTCATGTAGTTGATAAGTTATAATTTGTTCTTATGGAATGATAAGTAGGCTGACAGCAACTTGACATTACACATTGCATCCGTGGTATGCGTATATATATATATATATATATATGCACGTAAATGTATCGATCAAGTATGCTTGATTCTAATTTGAATCAAAATGAAGACTGTTGATACCTTCAGTAATAATAACAATAGAGAATTGGATTCAAAACTGTTCCTTGTAAAAAAAACACATTTTTTTATGTTGGCTTCATGTTTTGTGCAGTCTAGGAGTAGAGAAACGGGGAATCTAAAAGAAATAAAGGTTTAACAATGAGAAATTTCAACTTCTTTTTTCACAATACTTACAAGTTGTAGGTAATTCAATTACATTTTCCAGTATGATATATCTCACACAGGGGTTCAGTCATCCATCTGTAGAGTGATTAGTTACAGGATTTCATCATGAACTGACATTAGTTAGAGAACCATTGGAAAACCTGGGAATACTGGACAGCTGTTTCGTCCCAGTTTGGGACTCTTTGTCAGTACGCGCTCACCGGGGCTCGAACCCAGGACCTTTTGGCTGAAAGGCCAGCGAGCTCCAAGACCATTAAGCCACTGGGACCCGATCAAATGACCCATGAATTCTAACTTCTGACAATTCACGACATAGCGCAACTCCTAGCCAATGTCTTCAGCGAGTATTTGTCCTCACATCCGACCGGTTGCACCCTACTAACTAGTGTGAAATAAAAATAAAAATAGTCATTTTTAATTAACCCTACAGTACTACCTTCCAATAATATTAACAACAATTTAATAAGTTGATATAGCTCTACTTTCTGCATGTGGTTTTCTATTCTTCTATTTTCCGTAGTTTCCATAGCTAACAACACTATCTCCCTTAATTTAGTAACAGATTTCTATAAAAGTAAAGGCAGTTGATACATTGATATTTATAATCAAAGCGTGCCAAAAAATGTATTGTGTGTTTCTTACAAACTAATTCATAAACACTGATCCCTTAAAATTTATTTCACTGTCATATAATGTCGGTAGGTATCTTGTCAACATGCTGTGAATTATTATTGCATTTTTTTTTGAATGCATTGAACTTATTAAGAGAGAGTAAAATTCATGACGTGATTGTATCGGATTTCAAAAAATTAGACACTGACATCTCATATGCCCGTTATTTGGATTATATTGGCCTGAAATGATCAGTCTCTGTTGATATGTTGACTCTCAGTACGGATGCTTCGACGATGTTTAAGGATTAACATGTTGTTGTTTGTTGATAGTTAATAGTTGGAGGCAATCGGTGGCGACAATTGAACTCTGATTTCATTGGCTTCGTGGCACTTGTCAGCAAGGTGTATCTGCAGTCACCTTGAAGGAACTCATGTCCATCATGAGATTTGAACCTGCGATCCCCAGTGATGCAGTCAAAGATGTTACCACTGAGCTGTTCGGGCTCCCGGTTGACCTCCTGTAGGACTGTATTGGATGCTTTGATTTGACACTAGTCAGTGACTAGTGTAGTGTGTCTAGTCCTTTGTTTGGTGCAGACTGGATTCTATCAGTCAGCTTTGCAATGTGGCCAGCATTCTAGGTAGCTTGCCATCATGGTGCACTTTGAATTGTGGATATTAGATGGTTGGAGGCAATCGACGGCTACGCCCTGATGACTAGTGCCAACTAGCACGTAACCCAGGTCCAAGGCTTCCTACCGATTGTTTCCATCCATCTGGTATCAACAATTTGAAATGCACCGTGATAGCGAGCCACCTAGAATGCTGGCCACATTGCAAACTTGACCGATAGAATTCAGTCTGCACCACAGAAAGCACTAGACACACTACACTAGTCATTGACCAGTGTCCAATCAGTGTTGTTATTTAGGGGGGGGGCAGTGCATGGATTCCACCACTAGTCACCATCATCTGTCACTCTGTTTTTTCCGTAGTCCTTTTAAACAGACTGAACGACTGACCACATACTTTCGTTCAGTCTTCGTATGATTTCTATGTTACCGTTAGACGCTTAACTTAACGCTTCTCACTCAAAGTTCTACCCAAGAAGGCCTGACGTATGTATGATGTTTGTTTCCCGCCATAGTTTCTTGTTGGTGATTCTTTCCGGCCAGCCCGGCCATCTGATCTTCAGTATAGATCCAGCGAAGACAGTTGTTGGTTGATAAAGGTCTGCAACAGGTTGTTGGAAATATTCTTTGTGACCCGCCCACCAAGTGTCTGATCCGTATAGAAGAACTGACTGACTTGACATTTGTATTGAAAATCCGACTGAATTTGGTTGTTGGTTCTGGCTGAGTGACGAAGATTTCCAGATTGGTTGTTTCAGGTTGATGAATGTGTTTCTCGCCTTCTCGATTCTTGATTTGACTAACATCTAATAACTCCTGCTAATTGAGTGCGATAGGTGTCCATTTCCTTATTTTTTTTTAAGGAAAAACATCCTTCAGTTTTACTTACGTTTTCTCATAAAATGAGGTTACACAGAAAAGGATTTTTTCTCAAACTATTTACATGAAATTAATAAAGCTATGTACTAATGGATTATTAAAACCCTTTAACAGTCTTTGATTTTAGCCGAGATTTTGATATGAATTTCTATCATTTTGCTTATTGCTGCATAGAGTTGGTAATACACTGGACAGTCTGTAAATCTCTGTCATATAAAAGTAGCTCGAACTCGGAAAACATCGTTAAGAAAAGGGGAACACCTACAACTTACCATGTAGTGTATAGCTTGGGTATTTGTTTTGCAAACTTTATGAGTAGTATTCGTTCACCACCTGAAACTTTTCAATATGACATTAATTGCATTCCAGTTACTAATCGATCAAAAGTGGTGAGATCAAAAAACGCCACTCTAATATATGAATTTTCTAATTATTGGTTTAAGCAAACTAGGAGGGGTGTAGATTGCCTAACTTGACTCTTCAGAATACGACAATATAGCTGTTGAAGAATGTTGATGAAACAGCTCCAAGTGATGTATTCATTACTTATCATCTTCCAGATTTCATAAATGTTCACTCAACTTCATTTAACTATTTTTCTTGTCATATGTCGATACCCAATGTAGTGTTATTACATTTTTTGCTGTAATTTTATTTACGAGTTAATCACGGATTAATATCAGTGTTAGAGAACCATTGAAAACTAGGGAGTACTGGACAGCTGCTGTTTCATTCTAGCTGTTTAGGAATCATCGGTAGTACCCATCCAATGGGATTCGAACCCAAGACCTCCCGGTTACAAGGCAAGCTCGTACATCATTCAGCCACTGGGACCCGATTCAATGGCTCATGAATTCTAACTTCTACCAATTTGTGATTTAGCGCAACCCCAACCAATGTCGTCGGTGGGACATCCATCCTCACACATGACAACTAGACGGACCTCACTGGTCACGACTTCTCACTACAACTTCAGGAAACTCCATTCTGTAGCAAGTCATTAGCGAGCATTAGAATAATTTTATATAGTTTGGTTTTTAAGGGTTAGTTATGTTTTTACGGGTTAATCACAGAGTGTAACAACTTCGGTTCATGGATATGTAAAGCATGGGCACTCTCCTTTATTTTGCAGTGCTCTGTAGATTATACTCATCCTCTTCCTTCATGATTTATCTGTTACGTAATTAGCCCTCTCTCCTCTGTCATCTGCTAGGTGTCTGTAGAGAGCCGTTCCTTGTCTAGCCTCTTCTCCCCTACTAAGATAGTTACGAGGCTTATTTTCACGTCATTGTCAGACAGCTCTAGTGTTTCTCCTCACCATCAGAATTCCCCACGACGACTGCAGTATAGGTGTACTTTGTAGTTTCATGCCTTAGTTTCTGACTGTTGAACTTGAATTGTGATCTCCTTTGAAGGCTTGCTGTACTAGGTAGTGATCTGAATTCGCGTCTTCACTTTCTTGAGATTAAGATGAAGTCGATCAGATTTTGGGTGTATCCATCTCACGAAAATGACATCGCTCTGTGGATACCCTTGTGCATGTACATGTTGCTTCCGATTACCGAATCATTGAAGAAGCAGAAGTCTGTCAAGAGTCCTTTGTTCTCATTCATTTCATCGAGCGTATTTCAACCCATTATAGGTCCTCTTACCGTGATGTCTGCTGCCTATTTAGTAAGTATAGTCACTATTAGAATTTCGATATATTTCAAAAATTCCACTACCCCCTTACAACAAATTGGAAGGAAGAAGGAGAACTGTGCAAATTGTTTCATGAAATGCTGCAATTACAACTGATACATTTACTTATGAGTAGTAAATTCTGTTCGAAACATATCATCCAGTAAATATTACTGTTTCACTCTGTGATATACATTCAATAAACAAAATGAGTATTGAACCGATGAAGTTTTATGCAAAATTCTAAGTTGATAAGTCTCCTGTATTAATTATTCAATGGTCAATATAATATAATATAAAAAATAACCTACTTGAAAACAACAACGTACAACTTTGCATAAAATCAAAAAGTGCACTGAGTAGTGAATAAATATTCGTTTTAAAAGTATATACACAAAAATTGTTTGGTTGATTGTTTTTCTAAATCTTTATTTATATCATTTTGCACATTTCACATAACTAGTTTTAAGCCATTCGTTGTGAAGTTAAAGTGTAAATTCTTATTTTACTTTTGTGTCCCTTAGAATTTACTATAAACAGTTTATACCCTTTTATTCTGCTAATTGCAGAAATGAAATCACCTTGTTATAGGCCTACAAAAGATGCAGGTTTCATTTAAAACTCATGGGCACTAATAGTTATTATTGATTAGCGAAACGAAAATTCTCGGCATTATGGGAACCAAAGATGCACCACACGAAATCTTATAGTTTGTGTGAGAGCTGCGATACTACTACCCGAACGCCCAAACCGAGGCATTTGGTTGTCAAAAAGGACAACCTTTCCCCCAAGCCTTTGAATTGAAGTCTGATCCATGAAGCAGTGGAGCAAAGTCACCGGCTGCTTTTCCATAATTGCTGATGACTAAAACGCGTACAACATACGCTACTCGATCCGCTTGCATTCTGGAGGCCATGTACACCATAGGTTTTGGAATCAAGTGTTTTCCTGCTGTCGTATTTACAAAACTGGTATACCCCTTGCAGTCTAGTTGTAAGCTTCAGACATTCTCACTCAGTTTTCTGCTACGTGAAGGCAGTGAATAGAACTTACCTGGCAGAGGTTATGAAGGTACGGTCACATTAAAGCTTTTCGAAGTGAAGACTTACTGTCGGTCGTACCAGGTCGTCTATGCGGCTTAACTAGGTGAGGTTTAATAGTGCATAGGCTGGGAATCGAACCCTGAACCACATGAGTGATTGGCGAATATCCTACCAATGAACCACCAACTCACCTAAATAGTATATGGGTGGGGTGCATGCATATATACACACAACCCTCTTCACATTATTACTGGTGAGAAATATTAATATTAGAAGTAGCTTTTTACAGCTTAACAACACTTCAATATGAATGCAAAATTTTCGACATCATTACATCTATGCACGCAATTTAATAATAAGGTAGCAACATAAAAATTACCAGGTATTGGTTTTGTAGGGATTTTTTGTTTGATTGCATGGAAGATTTCATCATGAGCTGACATCAGTTGGAAAACCACTGGGAGGCCACCTGGGAGTACTGCACAACTGTTTCGTCCTAGTTTGGGACTCTTCATCAGTACGCACTCACCGGGATTCGAACCCAGGACCTTCGGGTTACAAGGCGAGCTCGTAGACCATTGGATCGGGTCCCAGTGGCTCAATGGTCTTCGAACTGGCCTTCTAACCAGAAGGTCCTGGGTTCGAATCCCGGTGGGTGCGTACTGATGAAGAGTCCCAAACTAGGACGAAACAGCTACCCAGTACTCTCAAGTGGTTTTCCAGTGGTTATCTAACTGATGTCAGCTCATGATGAAATTCTCCATGCAATCAAATAAAAATTCATCTAATCTTACAGAAAATAGATTTGAATGTTCACTCGTTTGTGCAAAGGACTGCATATTATCATATGTGAAAACTATTCGAAACACTTTTAAAACTCCAAACGCTTGGAAATTGGATCTAAGTCAACTTAATTGGGACATTCTGGTGTCCCCCCCCCTTATTTAAACTGCCGTACTTGTTTTTGGAAAATGACCTCAGAAACTTCATCCTGCCATATTTTAAGATTGTTTCTTAAAAACACGGCTAAATTAATAAAACCATTCGGAATAGACAATAGCAGCACACACCAACACAACCCTTTCATTGAGCACCATAGAGACCAAAATTTCACATAGCAAATGAAGGCAAGATCAACATCATCTGCATAATAAACTGCATGAATTGCGGTAAGCATTATATTGGTCTAAGAAGTAGGCATTCCTTTCAACTCTGAGTTCAAGGAACATAAACTTGATGTTCAAAAGACACGACAGTGTATCCTTACATTTCAATTCGTATAGACAACTAAAGAGACCAGTTTGACTGGAAAAATATAGAAATTTAACACAACACTACTAATATCAAAAATGCCAGAGAATTCCGAGAAGCCTGCTGCTAAGACGAATTAGCGGTCAACAGACAAATGGTTACAAATCAAATTTATCAACTAATAAGGAATTAGATCACACTGATAAAGAAAGTAAAATTCTAATTCAATAAAAACAGTCAGTGTCAAATAAACTATTTAGTATTATGTTTAATCTCCACTGAGTATCTTTAAGCACTACATGATTATTTTCAGTTACAATACAAATTCGCGTAACCCTTTCAAAGATCTATTGCATCAAAAATACGTTTGTCTGTCTGTCTGTTTTCGACATAGAACTTTGCACCGATGTGCACCAGTTCAAATCGCCACACTCCCTCCATGTAGCACACAAAGCAAGAGAAGAAAGCAGAAGAAATGCATAATACAGAATGTAAACAGAGGTGTGAGACAAAGGAACAGTAATAATAAAGAACAATATAGTTTCATTGGAAATTTTAAGTCACAAGGAGTGGGTGCATCTGCTCCAGCCACAGGGTTTTACCGTCCCAAGGACCCCAGCCAGTTAGGAAGTCTACACCTTCCTACGTGGCTGGCTTAAACTAACTGTTGTGGATTTGATTGACTGAGGAAGTCATGTTTTGGTTTGACCGCCACTAGCTCTTTTCCAGCCTGACCGTATGTCAGCTAACATTGCCCGTCGAGGAAGGCGATGGATGGCTAGGTATACTTATCGCACGTCCTAACCATCTCAGTCGATGTAATTTCACAGCCTCCCACCTACCTAGCACTCAACCTATGCCTTACCTCAATATTGCTCACCTTATTATACCAAATCACACGGGAAATAGAGCTTAAAAATACGTAGAAGGAAATAAGGATAAATTAGGCATAGGTTGAGGATACCGTCCAACAAAATCCCGATGAGATACGTGTTGGGCGTTTGAGTGTGACATGGAGGGGATCGTGTTGGGAGGAAATGAGAGCTTATGGACAGTTGGGGAACCATCTTAGAAAAACTGCAGAGTATAGAGTGATGCCAAGAGGCGCTATTGAAGCCGTATGTTCCAGGCGGAACCCATGGGAACAACAATAGTAATAATAGAAATTTGCAAGATGAGACGATTCTGTATGATTGGCTTGAACCACTGTAATTTTACCTAATGAGTCATCATCTCCTTGCAGATGATATACTGTGTTCATCACAACTAGGTCATACCATACTACCTTACAAATCAATCCTATTTCCTTTTCTAGTACATAAAAAATCTAGTTATAAACTGGTAAGGCGAAATAAACTAAATTTAAGGAGAATAAGTCATACGGTTCTATTCAGTTGACTGTGGCCTCTACCAAATAGAATTGTTCTACTATGGAATCACCACTTTAGTGGTCACACTAAACGCTGAAGTCCTTTATGTTGTCAATATTGTAATCTTACTGCTTTAATTCTTTTTCTGTATTCATAAAATCCGCTTCAAGTGTTTATGCTTTTATTTTCTGTTATTTCTCTTCCCATTTCTCTTCAAGTTACGACATCGTGAACGCTTTCAAATGCTGTCTTTAGTGTATATCTTGTTAGCTTGTGTTTCTTGGGGCTGTGCAATATATTTCTACTTAACACGAACAACTACATGGGAGGTAAGTCAGTTCTATGGCTTTTTATACCAACTATATTGTGTCATGATTCAACAGACATCTGTGAATGTCTGAATCTCGCTGTAAAACGATGTGAACTCCACCGCTTAAGACTTGCAATTGAATATAACTGACTGTTTCATTTGGTAAAGTCGAATTGACCCCTCATCTTTTTTTAATTGTAAAGTTTTTGATGTGGTTGTGTTCTCTGAGCTGGATAGTTAATTTGCGAAGCTTTCATCGCCCTACTAGGCGACATCTTCATCGCATACATAAGCTAGCCGTCAAAAGACATGATATCCACTCCCTCATATCACTACAACACACAGACAACCAAGGACATCAATTCGACTGGGACAACCAGCGTTCAAATATTAGACAGAGGAAACAACAAGAATACTAGCCAGAGAATTTTTAGAAGCTTGGCATTCCAGTGAATCATCAATCAATAGATACATCGAGATAGACAAAATTTATCAACCGATAAGAAGGAAACCTCACACACAAAGGATCAAAGTTCAAGTCCAAGAAACAATCAGTTCCAATACAAGTAACCTAGAAGGTGTGAAAACACACAAAAACAACCAATCACGTCCAAGGCCACCACCTTCAAATTGAAGTATATGCTGAAGATGTCGCCTAGTAGGGTGATGAAAGCTTCGCAAATCAACCATGCAGCTCAGAAAACACAACCACATCAAAATCATCCACCTGAGCTACAAATCTTCTCTATCATATCTAATTGTAAAGTTTCAGTATCCTTTTTCCACTGTTATCTTTTCGAACCACTGTCCAGTGTTTAGTTCGCTTTCATCTGACTAGCAATCACTACTGGTTGAAGTGAGTGGCTTTCAATTACTCAGTAATATATACCTTCCTATAGAGTGCTGCGATTATTATATTCATTTCGTTGATATCTAACTTAGTACTATGCAGCAAGTATGCCTAGAATTTTGAATCGCATTCTCGTTTTCAGCACTCCAAGATTATCTCAATCTCAGGAACATTTAAACGTGCTAATGAAAGTTAACTCCTTACTTTAACGATAGTTTCATATATTAGATAGTTGGAAGCAATTGGAGTTGGGCATTGGACTCAGATTTCATACTTCTCAGTAGTCGTCAACAAGACATAAGTGAAATCCAGAAGGAACTCGTGTCCCTCATGAGATTCGAACCCGTGTTACCCAGTGGTGCAATCAAAGACGTTACTACTGGAATGTATTGGATGCTCTGGATAATAGTTAGTAGCTAGTATCATGTGTCTAGTCCTTTGTTTGGTGCAGACTGAATTCTATCAGTCAAGTTTGCAATGCAAGCCACCATGCCAGATGGCTTGTTGTTATGAGATGATTATTAGAAGGACTAGACGCATGATACTGTAAAGAAGAGGAGATCGATGATGCTCGAAGGTATGTTAATTAGGACAAACCTTTTGTAGGCACATAAATTTTTGTATACCTTATCTTCAATGCCTTACTTGCACATCATTTGCAAATTGATTGAATATCGTCACATTCCATATCTTGTTGGACTCTGAACAGTGTTGTAAGGTTCTTCTTACAGTTCTCTTCTTCGATCACCTTTTTCCAGTGCTCAAACATATTGTTACTCTTTTGAATTCGTTTACTGATATACTACTTATATCTGATTATAAGTAGCACTCACCACAATACTAGTTGTTAACTGGGCGTGTTCAGTCGAAGTTTCATGTACGTTATCTACTGTTAGAGATAGGTTAAAGGTGTAGTAAGATTATGAAATATATTGGCATGTCCATAAATTTGACTGCTCACGCATCTATATTGCATCAACCTCTGGTATTCGGAAATATATTCATTTACAATGGTTTTGATAAAAAAAGAAGAATTCAATTAACAGTATACAGGGCGTTCAAGGTTTATCGGTCAAGGACACTGCCGAATTTTGGGCTGACCTTTATGAGAGTTTAATTACTGAATCATAATTAAGTTAATGATTACAATCACTTGATGGTTGAACTTTCTCTTAAGTTCATTTAAGGTTTTTAGTAGTTCCACTGCTCTGAGTTCTAGTTACTAGTTAAGAAAATAGTACATTTCTAAATTAGCTTTTAGTCGTTTGGACTGTAAGCATGTAATCAATTATTTTCTTTTTCAACGATGTATTCAAGTAATTGATCACTAACGCCTTTGTAACATCATTTGCTTATAACTTGGTCACTTGATGACACTTGCAAAAGTTAAATGTATTGTACTGCATTAAAGTACTTAAGTAATTTGGATAATCAGAATGCAAGCCTTCAACTCCACAAAATATAGCCTTCTTATCTTTACCTCAGTTCTAGTGACCAAGATGCAAACCCTAAAATTTCTATCATCATGTCTTGAATCCCATTTTTTGCGATATTTTTATCTTATCATTGCTGTTGATGTGGTATGTAATAGCCTGGGTTAATAAATAAACAAACATGGAGTGTGGCGACTCGAACTGTCGCATATCTGTGCAAAGTTCTATGTCGAAAACAGACAGAGAGACATCCATTAACATAGGTATTTGCTAGGAATGTTCACTGATCTTCATTTTCCTGTACATCTTCGTCTATTGTAGTTTCTTTACGTCTTTTTCTCCACTTTTATGCGTGCCATATTAGAAGTGGTTGGGATCTTGAAATGAAACAATTCTGTGAAGAGTTCGACATTCTAAATTAGTCAGTGACTTAATATGGATTTGAATATATTCACGATTGCTTGACGGAGATGGGCTATCCGAGTAGTTTCATAAAGAAACATATGAAAACATCAAAGAAATTAAAACCTGAGACTCTGACTGCACGTAAGAAACCTCTATTTATTAAGTTACAATTTAATGGTGACTTATCAAGTGAGATTTTATTCCAAAGACTTTCAAGGGGTATACAAAGAACATTTTACGCACCACACCTTTGTTCGTCATTCTCTAGCCAACGTGTTGGTGAACATCTCCCATCGTGGTTTGGCAAAGAATAGACAAAAACAATTCGTAGCTCAATTTTGTCATATTTAATTGATAGTGATCATGTAGTGAAGAAAACGAGAGCCTTCACAGTAATTCATCGTATCCCACCGAATCTTTCCAACAGACTTCGTATTCGTCTGCTGCACACAGCTGAGGCGATAGGCATCCGAACTATTAAACCTAAACTATACATTCAAAAGAAGATCGTACAGCCATTATCCCTCCCTTGGCCTATTAAGACATAACCAACTAAAGACTTCTACACCACCCCTTGTTTATATTTTCAATCCCTTTCTTCTCATCCCTTAATCTTATCAGATCTTCATTATAAACGTGTTTCATTTCCTTCCCTCACAATCTAACATTACCTAATCGGTTCATTTGTTTTTACTAGCCTTCATCGACTACTTCCACCTGAACATTTGTTTGTTTAATCATGCTGTTTTTCATGATTCGTGTTATCACAGATTGCCTCACATTTTCATCCTTATTGTTGATAAGACCATTGTTATTATTACCATTATTATTATCATTACTACTATCATGACTAATTGCATAATTTATATTCAACATCTTATTATCCTATAGACAAAACACCATGATTGGTTTATATTTAAATTTTTATTTGTAAACTTATGTATATTAGAGTTAAGCCTGATGAGATCTAATTGAAAACAACATTGTTAGCCTAAATGTGTTGTTCTAATAAATAAACAGTAAGGTTTTACCCTATCTGCATGCTCCTCTGATACTTAGGAATCTATGTCATCTTTGACGTAGACTGGATATCCGGCTATCCGTCTAATGATGTGTGTCTAATACGCTGTAGTTCGCTTCGTCCTCTTTTTATGGTTGTGAGACATGGTCATTGAAATTATAAGACTTGAAGAGGTATTTGTGTTCCATCTTCCGTGTTAACTGGTATAATCTGCTGAGTAGTATTGTGGTGAGAGCTGGCTGTTAGTTAAAATTGGTGGTCAGTAATTTACATCAATGTTTACATTCCCAATATTGGTCGCGAGAAAAATGAGAACAAAGGCTTTGCGTAGGCGGATACTGTTAACATATAGATGATCTGACATTCAAGAAACAAACACAAAGGGATTCAAGGTTAACTTTCTGTGAGAAACAACCAATCAGAAGACCGTGTTTTTCTGCTGACAATAATCTATAATGATGTACATGAAAATCTATAAACATGTGTTGATTTCCTAAATAAAGCATCTGTTTCCTGGCCCTTGTCTTCCGTTGTTACAGTATTAGGGTTATGCATAGAGTGTTAGGTAAGGAAGTGAAGTTGATCAATGAAGTTGTGAAGCTGCTTCGATTGAGATGACTAGAACATGTGTTACTCATGCCAAGTCATCGGCTTCTTCATTGAGCAATGTTAGGCGACAAAGGATTGATTAGGCTGGAAAAGAGTTTGGCGTGGTGCAGTTGAAACGTATCCACAATCCATGAAGTCTTTGACTGCTAGTTTTAATCACCTGTGGAGGGCGTCAAATGTATGGCTAGTGTTCCTTAGACTGTTTGTGGTGACATGGCTCAAAGTTGTTTTTTTTTTCAATGTTGCAGATCCATGTTATTATTCCTTCTCCCATAGATTTCTGTTTACTATAGTCTATTTGTATGTTTTTTTTTTGCTTGATGTGTGGTTCTATGAAGTTATGTCATCCTAAATCTTCTGTATTTTTCTACAAAGTTCTACGTAGAAAATTCACATGAGTTTTGCTTATTTATGCGTATAACATTGAATAGCATTTTTTGAAGAAAAAATAACACAAACACACGAATTCGATATTCGTATTTGGTATATGAGACTGTATGATTTAACAGCAGGATGAATCTTATGTTAAAATACTGAATGGATTCATTAGAGGAAATGGTATTTTTAATAATACAAGTATACTGTTGCAAGTGAAAAGCAACAATTTGGCAGAAGAAGCATCAAAGATAGGACTTCAGGTGAACAAAGATAAAACAGAGGTGATGAAGATTCCTGACCAACAGCAACTACAACAACAGACAACAATCAGCCAGCATAAATGGGAGGAACCTGAAAGAAACAAACTCCCTTACCTCCTGACCTGGGAATCGTCGTATCAACTACAGGCGGATACAACTGACGAGGATATCAAAGCAAGGATCGGGAAAGCAGGATAAGCTTTCATTTCTCTCAAGTCTGTGTGGAGGTCAACAGCACTCACCACCAAAAATAAGTTCCGGATTTTCAACTCCAATGTAAAGTCAGTGCTACTTAATATACGGATCAGAGACTTGACCAGCGCGTCATAAAGAGCATCTCAAACAAACTACAGACCTTCATTAACAGCTGTCTTCTCTCAATACCCAAGATCAGATGGCCAGAAAAGATCAGCAACAGGGCGGAATCTCTGGGAGCGAACCAACCAGGAACCGATTGTGCAACAAATAAGCAGAAAGAAATGGAGATGGATTGGCCATACTCTGAGGAAACCACCAAGTGACATCACTAGACAAGCCCTCGAGTGGAACCCGAAAGGGAAGCGGTGAGTTGGTCGTCAGAGCGAGGGTGATTTGGAAGAGGTCATGTGAAGAGGAGATTAAGGTATGTGGGCAGACGTGAAGCCAAGTGAAAACTCTAGCAGAGAACTGAACGCAATGGAGACGTGTAGCTGGAGCCCTATGTTCCTATAGGAATTAAAGGATATAAGAATAATACTGTTGTAGTGGGTCAGCGGTTCAATGGTGGGATGCTTGCCAACCATGTACGTGACTCGGGTCCGATTCACGGTCGACGAACTCACCAGTCTCAATTAGGTGGTAGTAAGCCAGGTTAAAGATGGTAGGTTCGGTGTAAGACCCGCAACCCCCACCACGTAAAAAAAGTACCAAAGCCACTGGTGTGACAACAGAAGACAAGGGCCACGCAACCGATCCTTTATTTAGGAAATCAAGAGGTATTTTTAGATTTCCATGTACATTATTATACATTATTGCAAGCAAACAAACACAGTCTTCTGATTGGTGCTTTCTCACTGAACGATAATCTTTCATCTCTTTGTGACCGTTTATTGGAGTTCGGATTATCTATCTGTAAATTTTATCCGCCTACGCAAAGTGTGCTGTGATTGGTAGTTGAATCAGTCTTTGTTCTTATTTTTCTTATGACCAATATTGGGGACGTAAATTTTTGTCTACCAATTTTTGGCTAGCGGTCAGCTCTCACCACACTGAAATTTTTGAAATCTCACTTTTTAAGGTCCATGTTCCGCTCGGAACGCAAATGAATGGAAAAAAGTAATTAAATCACTGAAAGCAGTACCTTTTGTCTAAGCACCTATATATCATCTCTTTTTGGAAGAAATGTCATTTATCTCTATGATTGTCATTACTGAATAAAAACATTTTGTATTTTTTTCAATTATCATTCACTTTCCAGGTAACTCCTGCTCGCTCTCGTGCACTTAATCAACCCTGTGTTCTATTGGATTTCTACGATGCCCATGATGTTTGGCACTTCTTATCTTCCATATCTATGTTCTTTTCATTTATGGTAAGTGGATGAGTGTTAGTCAGTTTGTGCATTTTCTGTCAATATATTTTAATTTATTATTGTTTTCCGGATGGATAAATCGCCTTCCTTGCTTGATTCTATATTAATTTTCAAGAATTAGTTTGTAGAGTGCGTGCTGCCGATGAGTCCCAACAAGCTAGGTTGAAACAGCTCCCCATTACTCCCTTGCTTTCAATGGCTTTCTGACTGATATCAAACCGTGGTCTAACCTGAAACAAATACACTCCCTACAATTTAATTCATGAAAGTTAATCTGATACTCGCTAGTGACGAAGTCGCCTGGAGTTCTGGTGAGAAGTCGTGACCAGTGGGGACCATCCAGTCGGGTGTGAGAATGGAGTTCTCACCGATGACATTGGTTAGTGGTTCCGCTAAAATCACAAATTGGTAAAAGTTAGAATTCATGGGCCGGCCATTGAACCGGGTCCCAGTGGCTGAATGGTGCATGAGCTTGCCTTGTAACCGGAAGGTCATAGTTTCAAACCCTGGTAGTGGTTGGGTATTGCCGAGGATTCCCAAACTAGGATGAAACTGTCTACATTAATTAACAAAATATTTGAGGTAATTATTTACTACATTGTCTTATTTTTCTAGAAATAACTCAGCAGAAAAAGACTGTGATAAGGATACTTCTGATGTAATGAAGTATGTATATAATTAATTCTTGAATTTACTAAAGCACAAACTTCGTACATTATGGGCACCAAGAAATGCGCCACACGAAATCGTGTGGCTTTTGCGAGGGCTGAAATACTGCTCTGGCGCCCAAACCAAAGCAGGTGGGCTACCGCCGCAGTGAACAAGAGTCATGAGCTGCGTCTCCATGCTTGGCGGTGTTATATCTGCGCCGCTAATTGTTATAGCGGCAATGAACTCAACTGGTACGCTAATACGCGCCTATTCGTCCGTTGTGCCTTCCACTTCACTGAACCACACAAATATCAAAAGCCAAAGACTGGTCTGTAACTGTAATATACTGTATATTTATTAGGAAACAACACATTATATTCATACATTTTCCGTACCGCAATACAGTTGGCTCACTGCTGTGGGAATGGATTGTTCTTATTGGCTGACAATAACTATTCTGATTGTTTGGCGATCTGACGAAGACCAGGTGGGGCAAAGATGGTGAATTGATCACACAATAAACCACAATATGCATGAGAAATGATGGATTAATATAGTAACTCCATCACAAGATAAATCACAAAATTCGTGAGAAAGGATGATATACTTTGATGGTTCTTATCAGGTGGTGACCTAAACAGATTCCTTCCCTATTTGATCCCTCGGTATTCTGGAGCCCATGTACTCTATAGGCTTAGAATAAGAATTTTCTAGCTCCTCCGGGTTGACAATCATGCTTACCAATTCATTTGTAAACGCTAGACGTTCGCATTTACTCTTTTACTTTTGTCAGGGACACCCAGTTGTTTAAAGCCAGTAAACAGGATGTACCTGCAGAGGCCATGAACACGGGACCGTATGAGAGCATTCCGATAGAAAGATCGAAATTTTCTCATCTGTTGGCCTTACCGTGTCGTTTATGGGGGCTCGTGATGAAATAAATTTTATTGTTGATTATTTACTAATTGTAAATTGACACATTAGGTATTTCAGCTGCAATTATATATATATATATATATATATATATATATATATATATATATATATATATATATATATATATATATATATGAAAATAAAGCTATTAAGAAATAGATTACTGTAAGAGATAAAAGTACGTTGTATCATTAATAAATTGAACTTTGTTCTCAATCGGAATATAATTCAATTTATTTTTAAAAAAAGATAATAAATGAGAGCTGGGTGAGCAAAAATTAAATACGAATGTAAAGATTTGTTGATTCACGTTTCTCAATGTTTTTCATCACTCACTAGTGGACTCATCTGCCTGGAACAGATTTTTCGTGTACCAGACTATGAACCAAAGTTATTGTGCGAGGTTTGATAATACTACTACTACTACTTCTCCTACCTAGTTCTCCATTCTGAAGTAGGTGGAGTGGGACTCGAACCTGTGACCCCTTTTAGCTGAAATCCGAGTACTCAAACCAACGGCCACATCTCCACGCACATATCTGATTAGTTAAAAATAAATAAATACAAAAGTGAAATTACAAAGGGTTGACTAAAGTACTGTTTGTTTTCTTAAATGACATGGCGAGTCGTTTTAACGGATTTCAAAAATAAGCAAATAAAATTAAGTGACACATCAATAGAGACACTAGATCTTAGTAGAGTATTAAGTCGCTAGATAAAATTATCAAGGAACCACTTATACATGATCTAGATTTATCAGCATAAAAATGGAATTTGAACAGTATGGTATATTTTCATAAAGAACTCAAGCTATTGGTTACTTCTTGAAGGATTGTTTCATTGACAATTCAACTTACAGATACGTTAAAAAAGCAAGATTACTAAATATACCTAAGATAGATAGATTCTTCTAACCGTGAAATTCGTATGTGATCCTGTAACACCTCATATCAATGGTGATTCCAGCCTTATAGCACATTGGTCAGTTATAGGTATCAGGTTTTGAACCACACTCTTTATTCTTTGAGGTCTGACCATGCTATCCAGGCTGAGAATAGTTGGAACGGGGTTCGAACCCGAGACACTTGGAGACGAGTGCTTAAGCCAATGAACACACATGTGAAGTAGTAGTACTTAAGAGAAAAAGAAGATAAACCGGTGCACAGGAAACCATCAGTTTTATTTCACGCACTTACATTGCGTCATATACCCAATGCAGTAATAAGATTAATTCCATTGCACAACGATATATGATATTAGATGGTTGGAGGCGATCGATCACAGGAAGCCTTGGACCTGGGTTCTGTGCTAGTCGGCACTCACCAGTCACCAAGGTGTATCTGCAACCTTGAAAGAATTCATTTCCCTTCCGAGATTTGAATCCGCGTGACTCAGTGGTGCAAACCTGACTGATAGAACTCAGTCTGCACCAGAGAAAAGGCTAGACACATCCCACTAGTTACTAGTGTCAAATCAAAGTATCCACTACAGTCCTACAGGAGGTCAATCGCGAGCTCGGATAGCTCAGCGGTAACGTCTGTGACTGCAGCACTGGGTGACACCGTTTCGAATCTCAGAAGCGACATGAGTTCCTTCATGATTGCAGATACACCTTGTTGACTGATGATGAGTGCCAACTAGCATGAAACCTTGGTGAAACAAGACTTACTGCTGATTGCCTCTAACCACCTTATATCACCAAATAAATGTACACAATTATAGCGAGCTACCTAGAATGGTGGCCACAATGACTGAAAGAATTCAGTCTGCACCAAAGAAAAGACTAGACACATCACACTAGTTGCTAGTGTCCGAACAAAGTATACAATAATATATGTTTAAAATGTGGTTTTTTTTCTCATGATCTCATACGGTGGATGGTGACTAGCAGTGGAATTCAGAAAGCTTATTTCCTCCTCCTATTTAGGACTGGTCAGACAGGTGTACCTACTGTCTGTCTGTCTGTTTTCGACATAGAACGCTGCACAAATGTGCGGAAGTTCAAGTCGCCACACTCCGTGTAGCACGCGGAGCAAGAGAAGAAAGTACAAGAAAAGCATAACAGAAACAGTGAGCAGAGGTGTGAGACAAAGGAGTAATAAAGAAGAACAAAACAGTTTCATTGGAAATCATAAGTCACAAGGAGTGGATGCATCTGCGCCACTGAGAACGATGAGTTTGAGCCATGTCACCAATTGTTTCCAACTATAGATTTTTACCGTCCCGAGGACCCCAACCAGTCAGGAAGTCTACACCTTCCTACGTGGCTTAGACCAACTGTTGTGGATTTCATTGACTGGTGCCAAGTTTTTGTTTGACCGCCGCTAGCTTTTTACCAGCCTGACCCTATATCCGCTAGCATTGCTCGTCGAGGGAGGCGATGACTTGGCATACGTAACACATGTCCTAACCATCTCAGCCTTTGTAGCTTCACGACTTCGTCGATTGATTTCCCCTGTTTACCTAGAACTCGACGCCTAACTTCAATAATGCTCACCTTATTATGCTACTTTACACGGGAAATAGAGTGCAGGCACCTATGATCAAAGACAGCTAGTCTTTTCATGTCTTCCACTCTCAGTGGCCAGGTCTCACAACCATAAAGGAGGACGGAGCGGACTGATGAGCAGTACAAACGCATTTTGGTCGATAGTCGAACATCTCGTCTACGCCAGAGTCGGCGTAAACTGGCAAATGCGAAACGAGTCCCCTGTATTCGTGCTGAGATTTCGTCAGAGATCAACCCGTTGGCGTTGGCTGATGGTACTTCCGAAATAAGTGAAGCGGTCAACGTGCTCTACCACTTCACTTCCTATTTCTAAACTAGGCGTTGATGTAGTCCAGTCCTGTAACATCATCTTGCATTTGGCGGGAGCGAATCGCATGCCAAACATTCGTAGATTGCGGCTCAAGGTGTTTAGAAGACTCTGCATTTCGGCAGTGTGTACCTACAATCCCTAGTGAGTGATATGTCCCTCACTGAGACTGGGGCACAGTCAAAACACCAAAGCGCGTTATCCACTATGTTACTTGGAATATAAAGGCACTAGGAGGAGGTACACATCCTGAATTCTACTGCTAGTAGTCATATGTTAACTAGGAGACATCGTCGTTGAAGCGTCGTAGTAAAAGCCTTGACATGTCACCACTGACCCCAAACATTTCACTCCAGTGTGTAATCAATCAACCGAAAAGTGAACAATTAACTTAAACAAATGAATTGACAGAAGTTAGAATTCATGGACTGGCCATTGGATCGGGTCCCAGTGGCTTAGTGGTATACGAGCTCGCCTTGTAACCGGAAGGTTCTGGGTTCGAACCCTGGTGGTGGGTGCGTACTGTTGAAGAGTCCCAAACTAGGACGAAACAGTTGTCCAGTACTCCCTGCAGGTTTTCCAATGGTTCTCCAACTGATGTCAGTTCATTATGAAATCCTGTTACCAATCAATCAAATCCCTACAAACCAACACTTGAATTTTAAACAAATGTGTTGTCTGTTTTTTTCTGCCCTTTCAGCTACTAATGTATCTTGATGATAATCTATCAAAGCGTCCAAGGAATCAAATTTTTGTTTTTTAATTCAAATAACACTGTGAATTGTTAATAATAATATTGTTAATATTATTATTTTGTTCAAATCCTCCTATTCTAAAGTATTATAGTTATTAGATTACTTAACGATCAAACGCTTATACAACACTGTCATTACTTTATATACTTTTGATTGATTTATTGTATGCGCTGTTGTTTTCTTTCTGGAAAAATAAAGCAAACATACAAACACACACAGACAGATTTATACACTGATTCATACACATCCACACACACACACACTACAGACACAAGCAAACAGATTATATTGTGTATAACTTTTTGTGTTATTCGTTTCTTCTATTGTTGTCTTTTATCATCTTGACTTAATTTATCTCTTTATTTTTCTGCGTTTGATTTCATGAATCATCCATCTTTCTAAAGCAAACATTTGAATACAGAGTACTTTATTAAAGCCATGATATCTTTTTTTTTATCTAAAACAGCTTGTGACTCACTCATTGTTGTGGATGTGAGTATTTCCCTCTAATGTGTCATATTTTCGATAAAGAAAGGAAGACGAAATTTGCAGTATAAAATGATATCATCATTCTATTTCACAGGTTTTCATCAGCTGCACACCACTACCTGAAATTATAATGGTTCTATATATATAGAGATTGATAATAATATACTTTAATGTTTGAGTGGTAGTAGAGAAGAGATCCTATAAAATTGACTCATCCAAAATAAAAGCATCACAATGTTTTTAGTTTAAGTTTTCATCATCAATTTATACGCTTTTAAAGTTGAAAAGAGGGGGAGGGGTAAGACAGAAAACAGAAAAAATTGATTAACAGAACAGTGTTAGCCTGTAGGTTCACATAGCAACTCAAAAAACAAAAGCGGTTACAGTTTATGGGATTAAGATTTGTTCAGTGAGTTGAGGTCACTGAATTAGATGACTAATTAATGTAATCAAAATTCAGTGAGTGAGAGGTTAATCACACTCTCTTTTTGTTTGCATGAGACTGGTTGGTTTTAATCGCTTGATTGCTATCGCTTTGGCAAATCGTAGTAAATTCGCTGTCCTTTGTCTATTTAAGATTTTGAGGGATTTAGAAATCTCTACGAGATGTCCGGTGTCAACAGTATGTCTGGTATTTTGATTGGACACTAGTAACTAGTGTGACGTTTCTAGTCCTTTCTTTGGTGCAGACTGAATTTTATCAGTCAGGTTTGCAACGTGGCCACGATTCTAGATAGCTCGCCATCATGGTGCATACTGATTTGATGATATTAGATGTTTGGAGGCAATCAGTCACAGGAAACCTTGGACCTAGGTTTCATGCTTGGCACTCACCAGTCACCAAGGCGTATCTGCAACCTTGAAGAAACTCATGTCCCTTCTGAGATTCGAACCCTTGTCACCCAGTGGAGCTGTAGTCAGAGACGTTACCACTGAGCTATTCGGGCTCGCGATTGACCTCCATTACAACCTGTCTGATAGAATTCAGTCTGCACGAAAGAGAGGACTAGACACATCGCACTAGTTACTGGTGTCAAATCAAAGTATCCACTACAGTCCTACAGAAGGTCAATCGCTAGTCCGAATAGCCCAGTGGTAACGTTTCTGACTTCAGCCCCACAGAGTGACGCGGGTTCGAATCTCAGAAGCGATATGAGTTTCTTCGAGGCTGCAGATACGCCTTGCTGATGAGTGCCAACTAGCACGAAACCTAGGTCCAAGGCTTCCTGTGGCCGAATGTCTCCAACCATCTAACACCATCAAATCAATGTGCACCGTGATGGCGAGCTACCTAGAATCGTGGCCACATTGCAAAACCTGACTGATAGAATTCAGTCTACACCAATCATACGACTAGACGCATCACACTAATTACTAGTGTCAAATCAAAATATTCTAACAAGTTACTTATTATGAATAAAAAAACACTCGTCTTACTTCCCATCTGATTGTAATTGATCAATAACACTCATATTATAATTATTTCTGAATGTACATCATCTCATATTGATTTTTATTCAGATATCTAGTCAATTCCACTCATGTATATAAATGAAGGGAAAAAGTTGTGTGAGTGAGTAACTTGATATGATTATGAGCAGTAATTAGTTTGTGCTCGAAACCTGGTCATCAGTTAGTATTACGGCAGAACACTATGTGACTTATCATAATAAAAACTTATCCATAATAGAGTTATACTCTACCATCACGGTGCCCAAGTTTTGTACCTTATATGGACAGAATCATGTCCCTTAGGCTGTGGCGAACGAGGAGGAGGAGACAGGAATACGTTGAACCGACAAGAAGACTGTAAAAGCTTTGGACTTCTTGGTCTATTTATGTCTAACGTCATATGAAGTCAAAGATCTACAGGCGAAAGTCAACATTTTTGGAAGAAGAGGCAATTAACGAAGGTAGAATTGAAGTGAACATGGAGAAGATGAGTGTGATGAAGACACCTGACCAGTAACAAGCACCAGTATCCATAGACGGAAGAAATTTGGACACCACTTCTTTCAAGTATTTGAGCAGCATTGTTCCAACTACAGGTAGTATAGATGAGGATGTCACATCTAGGCAGCATCAGAAAAGTAACCCAGACATTCATTACTTTGAAGTCAATGTGGAAATCTGCGTCAATCAGCATAAAGATCAAGATTCGGATTTCCGACGGTAATGTCAAATGAGTACTTTTTTATGACTGAGAGACTTGGCACCTCGCAGTTGGGAAATAGGGGAGGATTGGACACACGCTGAGGAGACCGTCGACTGGCATCAACTGGAAGTCGGATGAGAAAGAACGATTCCGGCGTCCGAGAATGACATGGAGGTTATTGTGTGAGGGGGGAAATGGGAATTTGTGGACAATCGGGGAGCCAGTTAAAAAACAAAAGACTGAAGGGAATAGAGTGGAATTGAGACGTCCTGCTGAAGCCCTATATTCTATTCGAAACGCAAGGGAAAATTAATAATACTCGCAATAGTATTTTTAAACCGATACAAGTGAATCTTTCGGAGTGCTAGCCACTTTTGAATGAAATATGTCTTCTTGTATTCATTGAATTACAAAGGAAAACATGTGATTAGAATCCTTTTTGTTTTTTCATTGCGCTCTACACAGCTAGCATTCAGTAAATTACACTTTCAAATAACAAGATGGATAGTCAATGTGTAATACTGTACTTTCAGGTTGTTAGTTTGTCACAGAAATTCAGTAGTCTGTAATTTTATGTTGATCCAAATGGAGCAGGTTACGTAGTTCAAAAATGAAGATGTGATTAGTTTACATACAGGAGAGCTTCGTGTGCTTATGGAAGTATATGGGTAGTGACTGCTCCTCGGCTACCTGAAACAGAAGTAACTTTAGTGTTGAGTGATTGTAATGCCCAGGGAACAACTGCTAGTGGCCTGTGATGCAGGGCGTCTAGTATTGTCTATCCATATTAAGGTCTGACCATCGCATACGAACTGCTTCAAGATAAGTTGATCTGTACAATTTTGTAGCCACCTTTTCTAACCTCCTTCAACAGACGGGAAAGGCTTGTTCTCCATCTGAAGGAAACACCTAACTACTTTTACATCCCCATTCTCCAGCATTACGAATTCACCCACGGATTCCACACATGGTGTAAATAACGTATACTATGCTTGTAATTGCTTTTAGTCTAACTGCTATCCAAACGACTATTTTGGCATGGTGGAACCTGCAGCAACATAATTTCCAACCGATAAAGCTCATTAGGTCCACGATGTCAAGATAGCAGCTATCAGTCCGGTCAGATTACGGAATTTGTTTGAAAGAATCGATTGATAATAATCATAATGATAATAGCTTTCTTCCAAAACAGTACTTGTGATACAGAATGGAATTCTCAGAATTTCACTACAGTATTGCATCCAGTTAGTACATTATTCAATAAATAAAATTCTACATAGATTAAGGGTAATCTCAGTTCATTATGACAACAACATATTGGTACGTCGGTAGCAAAGCCAAAATTGAACGGATTGTCTGAAGGAGTTAGAAAAGTAGATGCTAGCATATTTACTGGCGTAAGCGGTAACAAAAAGTTCGAGTTATACAGAGTGTGAAAGAACAAAGAAGAATGTTTCAAGTAGAGTTTGTAAGGAAGAAAGAAACAAAGCAGCACATAACAGAAAACAAGAGAGAGAGAGAAAAGGAAAAGAAAGAAAGAAAACGTTGTACCTATAAGTGATAAGAGTTGGAAAGACGAGATCCAGTTGTTCTACTGACTATTTATTAGGTTATAGGTATCACGCCTAATGCTTTCTTTATCGCACAGAACCCAAGCTTAGTAGGGTATGGTTGGGTGTTTGTACTTGCTAATGAGAGCATATAGTTTTCTATATAGGCTTCTGGTCCTGCCTGATGAGATACATGGGGAGAGTTGTCAATGAAGAGTGAGTTAGACAAAATAGATTTAGCCCATTTTTCACATCAGTTCAAGTGCCTGTCGACCAGAATATTACTAAGCTGGTTAAGTGGCACGTAGCTTACCCTGCTGACAACCTTTAACATCCTTCGTAATAAGGTATAGCCTTTCTTCAGTAGCCCTGGAAAAACTAAGGGGGAACAATAGAGAATAATAGGCAGGATGCAGGAGTTAACAAATCGTAGCAGTAAGATTCGGGTTATACCAGAATGTCCTAAATTCATGATGTAGAAGGTAAGACGGAATGTTCTTTTAGAAATCATCAAGATATGAGACGACCAGGAAAGATCAGCAGATAGAATGACGCCTAGGTATTTGATTTTCGACTTGGTTTCTATTTCAGTGTCATCAATGATGCACACCTCGTAAGTGTTGACCAGTTTGTTTAGGTCAGATTTGTGCCTAAAGGTGAAATTGTCTGTTTGGCATTTGGGGGGGGGGTTTAAGGTGAGACCGTTTTCCACTGGACCACTGGCTGATTTCTGATAGAAAGCCATTTAGTTTGGAGCAGTGACTTTGACATTTGACAGGCAAAGATACAGTTAGGTCATCTGCATATTTAACAAAGTTAATGTCATTTGAAGATGGTAGGTCATGTAGAAAGAAAGAAAAGAGAAGTGGGAAGAGTACAGCACCTTGGGGGACATCAGCTTCAGTGTTGCACAGCAGAGGAGGATTTGCCTTTGTATACGGTATACTGCATTCTGCTTGAAAAGTCGGAATGCAACCAGTTGGTGACCCAGGACTCAGTTTGTGTCATGGAGAGCTTATTTAGCAAGAGACATCTAGGTACAGAGTCGAAAGCAGAAGGGTCGTTCTTAAAGAATCAGTTTTGAGTTAGTTCAATCTGATCTACAGATGTTTTCTGCTCAAATGTATCAAAGATTTCTTTTCCTAATGAAGTTATTTACTTCATACATTTATTCCCCTTAATGAATTGAACAAAGCAAGAACTACAGTTTCAGCAGAATAAATTGGTACCATCTTTTATTTCGTTGCCATCTCGTCAGCTACTCACAGGGCAAAGACATTATAAACATATCTACAAAAACAGTTTTAACATACTTGCACAGAGTTCACTTTAAACAAAAATCAATCGATCAACATATGCATACATTAATGATATATATAATGTTAAACACTA